AAAAAACTAAACATCAGGGATTTTTACCGGCGTCTGAATCCGGGGTGGCCGGCTAATGATCATGAAAGTTTAATAGCCAAAATCTTTTTAAGAACTCCTATTTGCCAAGTATATTGCAATCTCTTAAATACAACAGAGTGTATGAATTTTAATAAGTTACATTTTCATATTCTCCAAAAGGACCCATTACCTTGAATATCCTGTGTATCATAAACAAAGTGTGAGATGTAGAGATGTTTGTGTGTAAAGCTGAACCCTACTTCTATTCTCCTTAAGGGAACCTGGCAGATAGGTCTGTTAGCTCAAGTTGTTGGGCCTAAGGCGGATGGCAAATCAACGTAAGTATTGATATTTACAGCTTTTTGCAGAATTTATGATACAAAAATCAATGTTCAAGGTGATCTTACAATGATAACCATCCAGCCATTTGGTGGTAAGAAAAGCAAGCTCTTGACTACACATTCCTTTCAGCACTGTCTGCAGCTCAGTGGTTGTTATGGAAGCATTTTGCACTCACATGAGTCAGTAAAAGTCTGCTCTGTCTTTCTGAATAAACCTCAGTTTTAATTTGGTTGATACATCAGAAGACACTTGTATCTTTAGGTAGAATAGATGATGCTGTTCTTAGCTTGTTGACTTGCATTCAACCTAGATCTTTGCAGTTCTGATAAAACATGCCTCCCTGATATAACGCGATGCATATAAAATACATTCAGGCTGGTACGAGGTGACTCAAGAGACAATCAGGCTATTCCTGAAAATACTGGATCCCCACAGAGTGCAACTGAGGCGCCGACGTCGAGCCGATAAATGTAAGCACGCTCGCTGTAACGCGATCTGTATCTTGCTCATTCAGAAAAAAACAGGTATGTTTGAGTTCTAGCTACATTTTCTTTAGTTGTCATATTTTTAGTACCTTATCTTATTGAACATTATTGTGTTTTATCTATTTTATCTCTGAATCAATCCATCTAGATGTATCCAGCATCCGTGCATCATTTTACTCCTCACAGTTACTTCTATCATAGCGTTCAGCAGCAACAAAGGACTTCCAGTAAGGACAATGACGAGCAGGAGGAGCTTTACTGCCTCAGCCTCGTCTCCACTTTGGAATGTAATTAAAACATTCTTGCTATTGGAGGCTTTCTGCTCCCAGTGCTGTGCGGATTAAAGCCTAATTGCTCCCACGCTGCAACATTTAAATGCTGATGTCAAGAATTAATGTTCCCAAGTCTTGAGTTATCAGTGGAAAAAAGACAGATGCAGTTTATAGAGGCTGAGATGACAGACGGGGGGGAAACAGGTGCTCTACCACGTCTAGGATTCCAAATTAAACGGTTGCGTTACATATGCTTCCTTACGATAAAGCGCCATGTTATTCTGCTACATACGTGTGAGGCAGAGGACACTTTATCTCCAGAGGGTTTATATTACAGTCTTAATTTAAATGAGTGAAGAGCGGCTAATTGTGGCTTGGAAAGACAAAAAACAAAACAAATCTTCAAGCCCCATGTCTCTCTCATCCCGTAGGAGACTGAGTTCCACTTAAACGTGTCTGAGCAGTACATGAGGACAGCAGGTGGCTCCAGGATAATCAAGACACTCTGGGTTCCTTGTTGCAAGGGACAACTGTGTCCATCAGCAAAGAGAGGCAAAGAATGACGAAGGCTAAAAATAGTCACACCCTAACACAGTCTCAAATGGCAAATAGAAAGAGACCGTCAGACTGTGTGTGTTTAAGCTTAGTTTTGCCGTACGGTTTAAATAAAAAGAAATGAAAAATAAGTTTTAAGCCTGCATCATTCTAACATATGTTTAAAATTAAAGTTGGAGTGAAGCAAACTAGTATATAGGAATTGATGTTTCATAATCTAAACAAACCATTGCTTATCCCTGTGAATCATTTCAGTTTTACACTTTCAGGCAACAAAGTCTGAACATTTCTTAGAAAGAGGCAGTTGAACTTTGTCAGGCAAATCTATTCCCACAGTGACATCTAGTGGAAAAACTGTGAATTGCAATAACATGAGTCTCACAATTTCCTCCTCGGTTCAGTTTGTTACAGTGTACAAAATATGTCACTATTCTTGCAGGTTGGATGTAAAGTGTATATCATGCTCATTCTTGTTTAAATAGTCCGCACTGTGAGTAATCCGAGTTTCCTTACAGACACCGTCATGGAACATTTAAAGGCTAAAGTTCGTGATTGTATCCTGCATTGTATGTATGCTTTCACAAAGGAATCAATAATGCATCATGTGCTTTAATGAAAAAAACATATTTCAGTATGTGCACTCTAAAGAGACAAAAAAAAGGAAGGAATAAAAGAAACCATATTTACTCACCCATCACAACACATGCAGAAGCCTCCCAGTCTTCTTTTTTCCAGTTACCTAGCTTTCACAAAAAGAAGTCGTTATTTAGCTGTCTGAAGTAATTGATCTTTTATATCATTTTTGTGTGCGTTTGTGTGTAAATCTTATTGTAACACTTTATATTAAGGTACACCTATTCACCATTAATTAGTTGCTTATTAGCATGCAAATTAGTAACATATTGGCTCTTAATTAGTCATTATTAAGTACTTTTAATAAAAGCCAGTGAGCAACAGACTTTTACAATAAAAACTGCGTTAATGCGAGATAAAATAATTTCGCGATAATTAATTAATTAGTTAACGTGAAAATAACGCGTTAACTTGCCCAGCCCTACTAAAAATGTATACGCTGAACTGATTTAAGTTGGCTAAAATATAAATCTATATATTCAATTTAAATTGATTAATTCATTTAACTCAATATTTTAGATGGATTCAACTTTTGATAAAGTATTTTAACTTTGGATTTTAAGTGAAAAGAAACTGAAAGAGCATTTTGCCTCAACTAGATAACAAGATCATTTCACCGGTTGAGTTGTGTTCAAAAGTTTTGTGAACTTACAGATTTAAGTACAACTGACTTGATGTCAAGTTTATTTTTTTATTTTATTCCTTTGGAATAATCACAAATGTATCTCAACTTATCTTTTTTAAGTTCAGGTAACTTAACATTTTAAGGCAACCAGACACTAACTTTTTTAAGACATAACTAGTTTGGTTTTTTTACAGTGTTGTTTTATCTTTCCCAGTCCTTGTGATCAAAATCTGTAGATCACCTTCATCCTGCTGTGAACTTCTCATGCTGCAGAAAATGAAGTGTTCTACATTTCAACTGATTGTGTTTGAAGATGCACTCCAAGATCTGTCCTTTTGTATTTTTGGTGTCCTCCTGTCAGCCCAAGAAAAGGGAGTGTTTTACTCACTGCATTTGTTAACTGTGCTTCAAGTTGTTGGAATGGCCCTTTTTAAGGATGGACTGCAGATTGTATTTAGAAGTGTTTCCGCTGGAGTGGAGAACAGCGAATGTTTAACAAAAAGTAAAACTTTGATCTTCTATCAAAAACTGTTTGAGTGGAAGTTCAACAGACCTCCTTTTTGTTTCTGCGTTTACTTGAAAGTTGGACCCTGTTCCCACTGAGCTGTTAATAAGTGCATAATAAAGTATGTATTAACCTTCATAAGTAGTGTTTCCACTTTAGATCCAGTACCTGCAGAGGAGCTTTATTAACTCTTAATAAGTGCATTATAAAGTATTTATTAACCTTCATAAGGCATTAATATGAACCTAATAAAGTCTTATGAATGTCAATAAACATCTTATGAATGTTGATAAGCGGTTTATAAACAAGTTTCTTTGTGTTAATTTATCTTACAAGACAATAATAATATTAATTTATAATTTAATTAACACTCATGAAGTCTTATTAATGTTCATAAACATCTTATTAATGTTTATGACGGTATATAAAGCGTTAGTACGTTTCTAATAAGAGCCTATAAGTGTCTTATGAGACATAATAAATTTGTTAATTATGCCTATATTAACACTTATATAGTCTTATTTGTGTTAATAAGAATCTAATAAGGTCTTATAAGTGACTTATAAGTGACTTATTACCTGTTATTAATGCTTATAACAAGCACCTTAATATAAAGTGTTACCCAAATCACTTTAAAATGTATCTTGTAACTAGTGACATCTCGTGTCAAAACCTTAGAAGCAAACACTCTTAACTCCTTTTGAAAAGTTGCTGATGGTCTGAATTGGTTACATTCATGTAACCAGAGAGAGCTGGTATGCATGTATGGATTTTTTTATTATATGGCCATTATAAGTGAGCTGAGTATCAAACACAAACAAACACACACTGAGAATGGGGTATTTGTGGACACTTTTATCAAAAGTTAAGGAGTGAAATAAAAATGATTAATTCACATTTGCAAGTGAGAAAGGCTCGTCTGAAGACTTGGAGGTTTAACTTGTTTGTCAGTGGATAGAGAAGCTGTGGTTTCCGATGTGTTTCTATGTAACCTTCATGGGCTTTAACAGCAGCATGCATGCAGGGCTGGGACTAAAGCTGCCACGTATGAAAGGAGGAGCAAACTGGAGGGGAGAAGCAGCCCCTCCCTGCACCGCTGTGCACCGAAGAGCTTGCACTAAGTTTGCATCAGTATTTTATAACTGTCACGTATAGTGTAACAAACGAAGATATAACTAGTGGTCAATAAACACAGAGATTAAAATACGTGTCGCATCTTTTAGTAATAAGTTGGTGCATCGTTTCTTCCTTATCTGCTTTAAAGTCACATCCAGTCCACTTACTAGTGCAATTTCCCCTGATGCCATAGAGACCTTCTGTAACTGTAACTGTTAAAAGTTACTGATGTTGTCACCCCCTCCCCCCCCTTTTGGGGAATTTGTCTCACCAAAAACGTTTTCTTGGGTGCATAAAATATGGATTTTACTCCTGATGTTCAAATAAAGAATATTCGCCAAAGTTTAAGAGGAGTAGGAATCATTCATTATTTCCTGGTGTTTTATTATTCCCCGTTTTACATGGGACTGCCCCCATCCGCATACCTCAGCGCTAAAAGCCCCCGTGGAAAGACACGACGCGCTCCCTGATACGCTGCCTGTCCGGTTTGGGGGCCTGGACTGGAAAACGTCTCCATCCACGACTGCAAGGAAACACCAGCAGCTCTCACACTCTCCATCACACACACACACACACACACATATCAGCCAGCTCCCACTGAAAGATGACAGCAAAAAACCGACACAAGAACAACTCGAGCGACAAGACCCCCGCATCCATTCCCGAGGATGCGTCGAAGAAAAGCCCGAAGAGCAGCGCCAGCAACGGGGTGAGTGGCCCCGCACCTCAGGGGCCACAGTCAGGGAGCTGCCTCGGGCTGTTTTTCACCACAGTGTTTTATTTGGGGTTATTAGGAGCTGCGGGGTTTGCTGCTTTTTATCTACAACAGGTAGTGGAGGAGATTCGTGAGACCAGCGCGAAACATGAGGACAGTGCGCGACAGAACGCAGAGCTGAGCAGCAAAATGGAGAGTGTGGTTCAACAGGTATGTGGAAAAAGATGGGAATCAATGGGGAGAAGCATCTTGCTGTAGGAAACTGCATTTTCAGTTAAAACCACCCAAACTTTTGCAAACCTCCTACTGAGGGGGGAAAAAGCCTTACTAGTCCAAAGCAATGCAAAACTTTGTTGTTGCTCCATTACATAACTGTACATATAGCTGTTGTACTGTGTGGAGCCAAATGTGGGGGGTTGGGTCGCCTTGGTAAAGCTCAGGGATGATTTGGTGAACTCCTTGTACTTTTTCATTGAGAAAAGCTCAAAAAGTAAAACATGCATACAATTGCAAACATATTGATTTGATGCGTTCTTCCTGTACTTATTTATACAGCAGTGTATGTCAAATTGGTCTATGTTACTCTGGGATGTCGTGCAACTACTAGCCCACTGACTCAAGTTTAATGATGACTCACCTCTACTCGTGCAAATGTATAGGTGGAACTTAAAGTTCTGATTTTTTTTCCCTACTAGTCAAAAAGTCCAAATTAAGCTTCAATGATCATTTAAATGTTGTCACTTGCCAATAAATTCGACATATTACACTTAGCCTACTTTTTATACAACCTAATGTAATTAAATAAGCACATTGTTGAAATGTAATAAAGGAATGTTTAAGGAAAGGCCACAAGCTTGAGAGGAGCGTAGAAGTTAATTTAGGAATATAAATAAAGGAAGTTTTGTCTTAAATCAAGCTTTCAGTCACAGATGTGTCTCAGTTGACCTGTAGCCAACTCTGTCCCAGCTGGCAGAAAGCTGGGAGAGCAGAAATTCACTGAAGACCATGAACCACACAGTATGTTACAGTATGATACGATAAGATGCACTTTGGGAAATTTGTCTTGGACTCCAGACAAATGAGATGCCATCAAACGCTAATTTATCCCAAAAACAAATGTAGTATAATCTAGTTGAAGATGTACTTGTTGGTTTTGGAAGCCACTTAAGAGATAAGTTAAGATAATGATAATGCTACTTTTGTAAACATGCTGATTGCAGCTCAGGTTTGAGCAGATGTATAGACTATTAATCAATAGCTTAGGCTACTTTGTCTATTTTGTTTTTGATCTTTGGTAAGAATTTAAAAGAATCATCTACACAATTTTTTGAATGACACTTATCTCCTTTAAAAGCCACTGACACACACATCTTCACCATGTAGAGATATCTAAGCTCACCTGTCAAGCCTCGTTATGTCTCCTGAGGATATGATTGGACAATAGCTGTTGGGGGAGGGGTTTAACCAAGGATGAAGTGTCTACATTATTTTTTTATTTAGATACTAAACCTTTGTTATCCATTGCCTCGGGGTAACATGCTGCAGAGAGACAAATTCTGATTGGGTAATTTCCTGCTCCAGGAAGTAGATTTGCTCGCATACATATTCAGTATGACAGTCAATGTTTCTGCTTTACTATGTAATGATACTGACAGGAAATGGACACAGAATGTTTTAGAGATCAAACAGTCATTCCCTCGGATGGTGAGTTTGAGGAGTGTGTGTGTGTGTGTGTGTGTGTGTGTGTGTGTGTGTGTGCTTTGGGACAACAGATGAAGAAGAGTAATTGACACATTCCTGAGGTTACAATCAAATGAATAATCAGGGTGTGCCCTCTGAAAAAGCACAACACTGATTGACATGATAACCCTGAAATCCAATATTCTGACTCTCTAAACACACACACACACACACACACACACACACACACACACACACACACACACACTCCCTTTGATCTATATGATAATATAATAAGCTGTAGTAGAAAGTTATGTGTTATGTGTTAAAAAAAAAAAACTCATATATTAATTGATTGATTGTTTCTTCACTTTTCATGTGAATTAGAGAAAATCTTGTTGTGTCAGCCTACTTGGAGGTGCATAACCAATCTGGTCCAAAGCTGCTAAAAGATGAACAGAGAGAGTTTAGTGGTGGAGAAAAAAAAAACACATCTATGCAACATTTTTGAGAAGTTTGATTACGCTCTTTTAAAGTACAGTTTGAATCTTGAATATGGAATACAAAAGCAATGATCTGCATTCCTGTCAAGAGAAAACAATCTTGAAATTTGGTCGTTTTGACTTTTTAGTTTAGAGCATTTTTTTCTACTTTTTAAAACTCAATAAACTATTTTTTATTTGTTATCTGGCAACGTGAACTGAGCTGATGTTTGCTGCCTTCTGGTTATACAGCAGTTACTGGATTGAAATGCATTGTTGGATGTGATAGATCACACTAAAGCTGTATTTTGTGCCGTCGTGTACAGGTGGAGTCTCTCAGGAGCATTGTGGATGGGCTGGAATCGTCACTGGGCATCACACGGATGGAGCTGGAGGGCGCTGTCACCCGGATGAAGCGGGGCGAGTCGGAGACGAGGAAGGTCGACGAGGCCCTTCAGAAGCTCCAGAACAATCTACTCAGGGACCTCTCCGACGGGATCAGCGAGGTGAAGGAGGCCAGAGAGCGGGACTTCTCGTCTCTGGAGAAAACTGTAGAGGAACGTCTGGCCGAGGTGAGTCAGTCCATCACGGCCAGCATGGCCGAGTTTACCGAGGCTCAGGGCGCGGCGCAGAGCCAGCTGGCTGATCTCAAGGCCCGTCTCGGTGACATGGAGGACCCCGCGCTCATAAAACAGGAGCTCTCTGCCATTGTCAATGCTGTAGCTGAACTCAGAACTGAATCAGCGGATTCTGACGCTGCATCAGATTCCCTCAGGCAGCAGATTGGTGCAGTGAGGGAGGAGCTGCAAACTCGTAACAAGGAAGTCGCCTCCTTGTCTCAGGAAGTAGAAACAGTGAGGTCCGTGGCTCAGGAGCATGTTGGGAGTCTGAGACTGTCACTGTCTGAAGCTGAGGTTGAAGTCCAGGCTCTCAAGGACAAAAGCGAGACCCTGGAGAGCAGCGTGGAGCAGGCTGCTGTCGCTGTCCGTAATGTGGAGAAGCAGGCGAGTGAAGCAGCTGCTCAGGTCAAGAAATCTTGGGACGACCTGGAAGCCAGAGTGAAAGCAGCAGAGGAGAGCGGAGATTCACTTTCCACATCCGTATCAGACATCAGCACAAGAGTGGAGTCACTATTTGGCAAATTCGATACCCATGAAAGCACACTGACTGCGCAAGGGCAGACCGTAGAGAAAGTCCAAACGGCTCTGGAGCAGGAGTTGGAGTCACTGAAGGGCCGAGTGGAGGAGGTCAAGTCCAGCATGGACACCCAAACCCAGCTAACCCTGCAGGTGAGCGACGTGACGAAGAGGATCGCCGCTCTGGAGGATGGCGGCAAAGTCAAGCCAGAGCAGCTGCAGAGCTTGACAAGCATGGTGGCTGGCTTGGAAGCTAAAGCTGCTAAGCTAGAAGGCCACGATCAGGCTATTGCCGCGCTACAGAAATCTCTGCAACACACCACAAAGACGCTGGCAGGTTTATCCAAAACCCAGGACAAGAAGGGGAAGTAGGGATTTAAAGTTAGGGGTGTGACGTCAGGAAAACAAAAACATGGACAATCATTTTTTTCCTAAAGGATGCCAATTAACCATACTCACATGGCGGCCAATTTTTTCCCCAATTGTAAGCTCAGATGCTGTTAAATTGTTGTACCACAGTGCCCTAAGTCATAAAAATCAAGTGAATCCATCAAGTCATTTGGTAGAAAAGCTTACATTTCTTGCTAATGGTAATTGTAGCAAGGATGTGGCTCAATGCTAACATTAGGCTTTTTCTGAATGTAGCTAAGAGGCTATCAAATGTATCTTCAACATGAAAAAACGGCCAAAAGCCCTTCGAGATTTTCATTGTTTGGTGTCTTTTTAGTCACTGGTCAACCTAAAAGCAGTGAAATGAGTCAAATCCTCACAACATAAGGTGCCTTTATTACACTATTTAACCTTCCTACCCTGGGCTTGAGCATTGGAAGAAATGGCCGCAGTTTGATACGGTGACTCGCTCACTTTTTGCCTTTTTTCATGAAGAATTTTGTCTCAGACTTGATGGTTGATGTTGCACATTTTAGTAGCTAAAAACAACAACAAAAAAAAAGGTTCAGTCAGGAGAGCGAGTCAGAGCTGAACTGCTGATCTGTGAATTCAAATCCAAACTCATTCTGCACTGTAGTTTTTCTATTTCTAATGTTTCCGTTTTTTTGTTTTTTTTTCATGTTACGTGCAAATGCTGTTTATTTACGACAAACCAGATGCAATAATGAGCTCTTTTTGAGCACTCCTTTTTTATTTACTACATGTTTTTTGTTTTTTTTACAAGAATAAAAAACTCTTGTTGACCCAGAGCTGTGAGGCATTGCTTCTTGGTGTCACGTTGACTTGTTGCTTCACTTTAGCTGCTTTCACTGTTACGTCATGGGTGATAATTGATGGTATGGGTGGAAATGGAAATTCACACTTTGAATTTAAGAAGAAAAAAAAGGACGCCCAGGTCATGTGAAAACCCTCAAAGGAATTCTCTCAACTACATGATTCACATTTTTCTACCTAACCTGAAATACGTAACATGCAATCTTTATGGAGTTAGGAGGCTTAACACCACATACAGCGCCCTGTCATACCTGCACAGATAACATGTCATTATCTCGATGGGTGTTTAGATGTTTCCCTCTTCCAGGTGTCCTGCAGAAATGTGCCTACTTGTTGAATGCTTTAGGTTCCAGTTGCATGGACACTCCAGCAGAAAACTTCAAAGTTATCTGACTTACTAGAATGGATGCTAATAAGCCCTTTGAGTGAAGAAGAGGACCCAGCAGAAGCAAGGAGAGCCTCTAAAAACACAACAAACTGGAATTTCAAGTTTTGGTAAAAGACGAGGAAGCTTTTGTCCAGGGTGAATCACGCAGTGTGAACAATGAAGTAACATGGTATGAACTATAGAAACTGCTTTAACTCTGAGGCTTGAAGTGGAGAAAGATGGGGCTTTATGTGCGTGTTGGAAAGTCATTAGAAATTTGAATCAACTGGAATTTTTCAGGCATTTCAAAAACAATTAAGACCGAATACATGGTCAGCTGCCTGTATGATCCACAAAAACAAATCAAAATGTGTTAATTTTCAAATAAGCAACTGATAGACACCATTATATTTGAGGTTGTTTCACTCCTGGTGCATCTACTTCCTAAGGTGCTGAAGCAATGAGCCAGTAATCTTAGTTTAGAATAATGACTAAACACAGGAGAAGGCTGTACTCAAAAGGTAGAAAAACAAACCCTCAAGCATGAAACGGATGATTCCTCTTTTTGCTGAGGGTTATTTGCAGGAGTTTATTTGTCAGGACTCGTAACTGTACACTCGTATACTCATATGTTGCAAATAGAAGCAGCTTTCCCCCTTATTGATGTTGCTTAATGTTCACCAAAGAGACATAATAGTTTTATTTATAACCCTTAGCAGTAAAGAAAACAAGTTTAGACTCCTATAATCCCAAAATGCTAAAATTTTGGCACAAGAATGTGTTCACAGGGAACAACAACCAAATCAAATCCGGACCAGGTCGCTCCAGAGGGGGAACATTTCTCATGACCTAACTTCAAAATCAAGTCATTACAACCTTTCAAAATGCTGACAGACCAGCCGCAAGATTGTTCAAAAGCATACCTCCCAGCTTTGTGCTTTAAAGGAAGAGTGTGCAACTTTTGACCCAGTAGACGTCGCCCTCGAGCATCAGCATGAAACCACAACAAACTGCTGTCTGGGGACACACCTCAAACCCCTCGCCTCACGTTCCCAACAAGCAGTTTAGTGTTTTTAATGTGTAAAATTTACAATAGCACAGGTTTATAGATTTTTTGGGGGTATTAAAAAGATTTATTACATGGAAATTCAAACATTGGAACAACAGTTGACCGGATTGTTGTGAAAATAGTTTCTTTGCAGTGTGTGTCTCATGTGTGTATATCAGATATATCAGCTATTTGACTAACCTGTTTAGCTGTAACACTTAAATCTCCCTCCACTGCAGTGAGGTTAGCTAATGTCTGCCTGAGCTCAGCAATCTCCTTCTCTCTCTGAGTCAGATCCTCTGCTAGTCTCCCTATCCGCAGAGTCAGGTCGGACAGCTGAGGCTCAAACGCCCCGAAGTCTCTCTTTATAGAAGCCACTTTTGGTTTCAGGTCGGCGGCGAAGGTCACCGTCCTGATCAGTCGAGCTCTGCCGCTCTCCAGCTCCCTCAGGCGCTCAGACGTGAGGTCGTCAGCCACAGCGAGTTCAGTGACACGCTTGCGGAGCTGCTCTATGGCCTGAGTGTTGCGTTCGGACGCGGCGCGGAGATTCGAGACTCGGTCGATGCTGCTGGTCAGCACATCCCCGATGCGTTTGATCATGCTACGCTCCACCTGAGAAGTCTTGTCGTCCAGCTCGCCCAGCTGAGTCAGCAGAGACTCCAGTTCTGACCGCAGACCGTCCATTCTGCGAACGTCAGTCCTCACTGACGCCACCTACAGGAGGAACACAGAAGGACAGAGAGCAAGAAACATTATTGCAACAGGTATGATGGGGGGAGTAGACATTTCCACTTAATCTTCATATATTTGTGCTGATTGCATTATTTAATCTAATGAAGAGAGGCTTTATGGCCAATAAATAACTTCCCAATTTACTATTTTCTATTCATCATAGGTGCCAAACTGAAGAGTTCCCTTGCATCGCTTTATATGCAGTTACACATTTTGAGACTCTTCTAATGTCTTGTGAATTTTTCCCAGCAAAACAAAACAAAGACAGAACTTTATGCAAATGTTTTGATGGACAAATCATTGCTTTAATAATCATTTAAGACAACAACTGATGGTTGCAGCTCCATGAATGTTTGGATTTAAAGTTGTTCTGTTTTATTTGAGGGTAACTATTTATTATTGGATTTCGGACAAAGCAAGGAGAAGAGAGGAAATGAAATCAGCTTTTTTTTAACTATTTATATTCACATACAACAAGTGTAAACGGTTATTCACAGCCTTTTCTTTTCTGCCTTTGGTTAAATTGTGTTCCTACATCTGGATCAACAGTTTGCACAAGTGAAGGACAAACGACTATTTTCCTCACGAGAATCAGTAAAATAAAAGACATGATGGGACACACCTTGTTGTTGAAGTCCTTTGAGATGGCCGAGGTCCGATCTTCGATCTGTCCCACAGCGTCTTTCAGTGCAGTCAGGCTGGTTTGGAGCTGGGTTCGTTTCTCAGTCAGCCCCGAGGACCACTCCTTCAGCCGGCTCACATCCTGCTCAAAACCCTCCAGACGGGGCTGCAGAGCCCCGAGACCCTCCAGCATAGGCTGGACGCTCTCACACTGAAACAGGACAGACAAGAAATACATCGATCGATGGAAACAACAGCAACGAGTGTGAGACTTTAGGAGCAACTTATTTAAGTGGTCATATATTAAAAGACATCATTTCAAGTTAGTGGATTTTAGTGCTCAAGAGGGTTTAGAAGAAGGAAAAGCATTTTAATTTAAAAGGCACATTTTATTAAATAAGTTCAGATAACACTGACTCATACGTAGTTAAAGAAAAATACATTCTACTGATCAGTTTATTTTATGATCAAATAACTGATTTGTGTTTGGTCTACAAAAGGTCAGGTATATATAAAAACTTATTTCTTTAAGACGTCATGAAATCGCTTCTACTCCTCCAAACATCCAATGGAAACTCAAAAAATCCAAATGTACAAATGAAAAAGAAAAGAAAAGCAAAAAAAAACAAAACATGAGGATTAATTGCTAAAAGCTCTCATGATGCTTTATCAGGAAAGACTCACCCACATGTTGCCATATTTGTGTTTTAGTTCAAATGGCTGGCTTGAAAGTAACTGTATGTGATTTAAACAAATACTAAAGAAACCTAAAAGCTGTCAATCCACATTAAACAAACATTATAATAAATAGTCTAGACTGCGCTTGTCTTATAGACGGCACGTGTACCAGAGTTCATGTTGAAATCAGGAAACTTTAATGCAGTGACATGAGACTGAGGTGCACATATTGAAAAACATTCACATAAGTCTTTTAGTCTTCGGCAGAAAATTCAGACACACTCCTCTTCCCTAGTCGGCTCAAAGGAGTGACATCATTCAGTGATGTCACCAGGAAGAGGTTGAGTCATTTCTTCATCTTTTTCCCATTCCTCCCAGGGCTCCTCCTCCTCCTCCTCCTTCCAGCCTTCTTCCTCTAAAGCGTCCCGCTGGCTGTCGATCGTATTTTCCTTCAGGACCATGGTGAGTTCACGGACTGCCTCCTTGACCACGGAGAGCTCGTTCTTCATCTTGAGGATGCTGTTTTGAGCGTGCAGTGTGTCCAGCTCCTGCCTGATCTCCAGGATTTCATTCAGAGCTTTCAACATGCTGTCTTCAGTCCCAAACACCTGCAACGTCACCTCCTCGAGACGTTTCTCCGCCCCACTCAGGTCACCCCCCAGCCTCAGGATGGCGCGCACAGCCTCCTCCACCTGCGGAAGGTGCCTCTCACACTCTTGTGCCCGGGGGATGTGCTCCTCCAGCTGAGCGGTGAGCTCCGCCTCCTTCTTGCTCAGGCTGCTGATCTGCACCTCCAGGTGGTGGATCTGCTTGGTGTTCCAGTCTAAATGTTCCTGTGTTCGCTTAGTGTCGTCCTCCTCTGTGCGTTCCAGAACTCGGGCATTCCTCTTGGTGCTGTCCTCGAGCTCCTGCAACCTCTCTTCCAGCAACCGGGCCCTCCGTTCGGCCTCGTTCACCTGGTCTGTGGCTCCAGCATGGGCTTCCCGGGACTCGGCCTTCAGAGCAGCCAGGTCAGAGGAGATGGCGGCCAGTCGTTCCTGCCACGTCTCCGTTACATTGAGGAAGTGGGCGTTGACGGTCTGCAGGTCACGGCTGGCAGAGTTCTCGTCGGCTTGCATGGCCATGACAGAAGCGTGGAGAGTGGAGATGTCCTGCTGGAGTCTTGTTGCCAAGGAAACAGTGGAGAGCGCTTCCTGCAGGTCGTCCTCAGAGGCGGCAAGCTGCAGCCGCAACACAAAGGACATACGAGGGCTGTTTCTGTGGGAGCTCTTTGGTCCTCAGCATTCATACACGATTAAGTCAGAAACTAAGTGCATGCAAACATTCAAACGAATTTGAAATTAACTTAAATTGTTTTGATACCAGACATTGTGTTGATACTATAGATCAGTGGTGTCCAAACTTTTTTTTCTTGCGGGCCAAAATTGTCGCGTTGGAATCGCTCGCGGGCCACAGGTTTTTTTTTTTTTTTTTTTTTTTTTTAAATATAGTTGAAAAAATAGTAAGGCTTTGTAGATCAGAATCAAAAGGCTCGCTAAAGAAACCCTTTAATAACAGGAAATCAAATATTTTGATTTCTTCATTCTACTTTATTTTTGGAAAAGCTTTCTGCATTTAGCTCAGGTCATTAAATGGTTAAACAACAGTCTGCTTGTTTGCAAAAACTTTCCATACTTTTTTTTTATAGTTTACAAAAAAAATTGGAAAATAGTAAAAGCTGTAGATTTAAAAAAAAACAACAACAACAACATACATGTTACTGAACATTTTCTATTTTAGGAATATTGTTCAGCCCTTGTTAACATGAAAAAGAAAAACAAGATAATGTGCCAATCTTAATCAAGGCCTCGGGCCAAAATCTTCTGATTCTTCATTTGAAGTCACGGGCCGCAAAAAAATCCCCTCAAGGGCCGCAAATGGCCCTCGGGCCGCATTTTGGACACCCCTGCTATAGATGTAGGAAGCATGCATGATGGATGAGTTGACCTTAGTTGAGGGAAGACAAAAAAAAAACTGAACAGACAGGCAATACTTTGCATGCAGAGGTTACTTCGTCAGGTTTTTACTTCTTTTACATTTGACATCTTTTTATTAGGATTAAAAAACTGAAAATGTAATTAATTTTGAAAAGCTGACTGCAGCTTCAGCCAAATAGCCTAGGCAGTAATTAATGTTAGGTCTGTTTCCAGAGTGGAAAGCAGTTCCAGTAATAATGTGGGCACCACAGACAACCATTGTATGAGGGTCCCAGAGTCCAAAACCCCCTGGGGACACACTAAAAAGCTGCCTCCACTCCGGCTTCTGTTTTAAAATAAAATTGTGTGAATGGGCCCTTTAAAAACTACACACATCAAAATCAGCTCAAAACCTGTTCCATGAACGCACCTTTTTAGAAACTTTAAGCACTTCTTCCTCCATGTTAAACAGACTTGAAGTCTTCCATGTAAGAGTTTGAACTTTTCCTCCATTGCCGAGAACCTCTCGTTCTGTTGCAGCACCATCCTGAATCACAGAAAGGTACACAAACTTCAATCAAGGAAACACTTCACAGAAACACATGCAGAAAATGTACAGAGGAAGCTTCTTTTTTTTGACTCACCAACTCAAAGCTCCACATGCAGCAAGCGACAATAAGCACATTATGCTTCTCGTATCAAAACACGAAGATGTCTTATTTGCTGCTGCGTAGTTTCCAGCTTGCGTTTTGGTTTTTTTATCTTCATCTTTACCATTTGAAGCCGACGTCTCCGACACTTCGTCACTTTGTTTTGGTGATTTCTTCCTCTGCTTTACCTCAGTAGGCATTTTAGCACACTGGCACACTAGTTGTAAGTTTGGTTGTGTATGGAATTCAGCAAACCCTATAGTAGGCTAATAACAGTCTTAACTCTCCATTAGTTCCGCTGCAGACTTAAATAAGACGACTGTTTTTAAGGTGTGTTCATAATGGATACATTCAAGCAGAAGTATTTTAAATCAAAGTATCATCTGCTACGTTTGTCGTGTTTCACCGCTACATGTATCCTCTCCATGTATCCTCAGCTGCTTCGGAAAAATGCCGCCTTCAAGTGCTCCTCTCAGGCTCGTGAAAACAAACTCTCCCGACCAAGTTGCTTGTGTAAAGCATCCAAAATGCAATTACGAAAACATAAATCTTGAATGGGGGGGGTTACATCGTTATACTTAAGCTGTAGTAGTTATAAATAGAAAGTGATTCAAAACAATGTTACAGTTTGAATGTCACGCTTTTCGGTTTATTGTTGGTCTAACTTTTCTCCTGTATTAAACACTCAGATTTCAGACATTTTAAGACGTACCGTAAACGCCTCAGCCAGCCACGTAAGCGTATGCCAAACTATTTCCTGAATGTGGCTATGATGATGGATTATCAATAACTTTAAAGGAGAACTGAGACAAATAATTAGAGAGCCACCAGGAGTAAATGTGAAAATGTACAAGGGCTGCTTTTTCTATCTATTTCCGACCTCCGAACAGCCCATAGAATTTAACTTTTTAACATTTTTATGCAGTCCTGATCAACAGGAATTCTTATTTATTTTTTATTAAAGAAGAAGCATAGAAAGGGAACTTAAAAACAGCTCCTGATTAATGTAATTGTAAATAGAAAATTGTTCAGTTCAGGATGGTTTGTAGAAAAAAAAAAATACGACTGTTGAAGACAAAACGTTGATAAACATGCAAACCTTCCCCCAAGAGTAACACGATTTATTTATAACATGGAAAACTGGTGCAGGCAAAATATAACCACGCAGCGTAAGCACAAGCCATTTATTCAACATGTTTCCAAAAATCTAAACTGAGATTTAGAGTGTCAAAATATGCCAAAAACTTGATTTCAAAGCCGTATACACCACCGTATCTATAGAGGATTTCAGTCTACTGTACAGTTCTCGTTGAATAATTCTTCATATTTAACAGCCATACTCGCTCTCTTCTTTTCACAATGTGTCAGCTATTAACTATGGGACATGCCAATTACATGGGCTGCTTTTCTTCTAGGTAACTTTTAACAATGTTTAACATAAGAAGGCACAGAAAAAAAAATATTATACAAACATCAACAGATACAATAAAAAAAAGTCCTAACATGGATGCAATGTCAACTTAGAGGCAAAATATTAAATTACATTAAAGTACATTCAAGCAAAAAGCTGCCACGTGCAATGTCTAACAAATGATGTGCAAAACAAATAAAATAACCAGATGACTCAACAATAAAGCAACGAGGGCATGCTCATCAGACCTCTTTGGACTAAGGCATTAAGTGATGGAGTAGACAAATATTTGGTCACTGAAGGATATAAAACTCAGACTTTTGCCCTCTTTTAGTGTTTTATGTTTACAAGTCAAATCAAAGTCCTGAGAGGCAGAATTACTACAGAGTGAGCGTTCCTCATCAGGGCTTTAGAAACTCTGCAAAATCTAATTTAAGCATTTTTAGCATCGCGGCAAACGTTATAGTAAAGCTGTTTTCTCAAGCTGCGTTCTATTTTCTAACTATAGCCCCACCTGAAGAGCTACAAGTGCCAGAATTAACCACATTTCTTTTTTTTTTGTTTTGTTTTTTTACAGGAACAGCAAATAATAAGACAAATAATAGTTTTGAAAGCTTTAGATGTTTACATTCTTATTCAAGGTGGGGCCTAAGAGCTACAAAGAGGTCCCACCACATCAGGAAATGGTTTGTCTGGGAGAGTTAACTGATTAAACAGTGAAGGTTACAACAACAAAAAAGGTCAACCCCCAACATGTAAACACTAATTTTAACAAAAAGCAGCTACAAAAAAAAACCAAAAAAAAACCAACCCAAACATCATCAAAAGGCACCCTTTTAAATTCAATAAATCTGAAAGTTACAATGTTGACCCCATTCTTCATTAAAACCATTTTAAAGTGTCAAACTCCAAACAATAGTAAAGAAATATATATATATATTATTATATATATATAAATATGTAGTGCAACTAGTCTACATTAAGGGGCTTTCTGGTTCTGTTAAACTGATTACCTAAGGCCTTTAGCAATAGATTGAAACCACAACAGCCATAGCTTAGCTTAGCATAGCATAAAGACTGAAAACAGGGCAAAGCAGCTCGCCTGGCTCCGTTTAAAAGGTACACATGCTCAGCTGTACCAACATCGTGTTTACTTTAAGCTGCCCTCGTTTCCATCACGTATGCTCAGCAAGCCAATCAGCTGCTGCTCACAGCTCCATATATCATAACGGACTAATATGAGACTAGAATTGATCGTCTCATCTAAAACTCAACTAAAGCAAGAAAGCCAACCAGGGGTTTTACCAAAATGTCAAACTTTTTTTTTTTTTTTTTTTTAAATATAATTTTATATCAACTTCGTCACACACACCTGACCACAGATATAGAGAGAGAAAAAAAAACATCAACAGAAAGCTTGTGCGCTAATGTGGCAGATTCAAACTGATGACGTATGAACATTAAGCTACACCTCAAGGCCTCTGTATTCAGCTTTTGGTCCCGTCTGTGGAAAAGCAAACATAAGTGCACTTTTGGGACAGAAAGGACACTTTCAAACCTTCAGCAATGTGCAAAAAAAAAAAAAGAATAACAATAGGACCCCACACTGTGTGTAATGAACGATTGTAACCACTTAAAAAGAAAAGGTACAACTTATTCCTCTACACTGCTGAGGATTCTTTTTTTTAAACTCATCACCTAAAGGAAGTCGCTCCTGCTACATACAGCGTTGCTAAACATTTATAACTCAAGACCACAAAGCAAAGAAAGTAATAAACTGCAAACTGAATGTTCTTCTTTTCTAAATTATACACATTAATGCCCCTTCAAGATGCCGACAGGGGAATATAACTCCCCATGAAATATTGTGCTTCCACCATCTTGATTGTAGCAACTTTTCTATGTACATTATCCAATATAAAACTAGATAGAGATGTTTACAGGGATATCTGGGGGTCTTTTATAGAGAAGCTTTGTCCTTTGCAGTGACCAACACTCACTGCAAAGCTTCTCAGACTCTGTAAAACAGAGGAGGATGATGATGAGGCTGCTGAATCCAAGAGGAGGAGCAGCACGACTCAAGTACTGTAGTGATCCTGGAAGAAAAGCAGAGTGGAATGTAAAAAAAAAAAAAAAAAAGTTGAATTTTCTCTTGTTTGATGTTAATGTGAGTGTTTTGTTTCCTTACTGACCTGAATAGAGTTCACGACACCACTGGCCATGACGGAGAGTTTCCCCGCAACAGAGCGCACTCCCAGTCTGAGCTGGGCCATGTCAGGAGCGCTGGGCAGCACGTTGGTCAGACGGTAGGAACTCGCTGTGAGCGTGAGACGAACTCAGAGTTAAGCAGATAACAAACAGGTTTGCACGTATTCAAATTTTTCATTGAATTGGTAGGGGGGGGGGGGGGGGGTCTCTTACCAGCCTGTTTCTTCTGATCTTCAAACAGGTCCGCTGAGCTTATAGAGGAACTCCCAGAGAATCTCTCCAGTCGGGTTTTGGCCTCGTACTAAACAACACAGATAACACTTTACAGCAGCTGTTCTGAAAGGCATCTGTTTCAGTCAGGGTCTAAAAGTGAAGACTCCTAACACCATCAGTTGCATTCAGCCTAAAGGACAAACCAGAGATTTTGTACTTTCTTGTTTTATTCACAACTAGATATGTATATCAGGAGTTAAAGTGCCTATATAAACATGAGAAGCTATTAAACCCACAAGTTCTGCAAATCGTCTGTGAACATGCTCAAGACATTATATTCAGTGAACACATCATGCGGAGCGGGTGACGTTGTTTTGTACCTCAGAGTTATCCTGTTTCCCAAAGTACATGTCTGAAGAGATGGATTTCACATCAACTCCAAACTTTTTCTGAGCTTCCCCAGAGTCCGAGACCGGTTCGGGTTTTCTTCTGGATGTGGACTTTTGAAAAACAATTTTAAAAAAAGAGACAACAATTAAAAAAAGAAAAAACTTTGTCTATCTCAATCACATTTCTGTTGCATGTGAATTCAAAACACAAGTTGCTCCTTTTATTCTTCTTTTTGCTCTTCTAGCTTTTGTATGTTCTGACTTACATGTAATAAATGATCACTCAAAAGGCCTTGTGACTGTATAAGAGCAGAAAGTCCTCTACATGGAGTAACAAACAGGAAGTTGAAGACATGATGAGTTGCAGTGACAGAGACATGATGTACCTGTCGTCCAGCGATGAGATCGTGGAGGTCAGGTAGAAGTCCGGCTCTGGTTTCTTGCTCTCCTTCATCCAGCCTTCGACCTCACCTCTACTTTCCCACCGCGCTGAATAACTATCAGACGTCTCTGCTTCATTCTCGTATCGAGACGAGACCCTGAAGAAAGAAGGACGTTCAGGAAAAATAGCAGGTGAACAAATAAAACCGTTGTGAATGGATTGTAATATGCGAGTACAGAGAGTGCAGCGATCCACAGCTGGAGAAAAGTGACCACATTCAGAACGGTAACATTAAAGCAGTGACTGAAGTGTGACATTAAACCACAACATTCAAGCAAAGATAAAGAATAAAAGAAGAATGTTCTTGACTATCACAGAATATTGAATTAGTAGATTCAATCTGACCTGGGGCTGAAGGATCCTTCATCATCGTCGTCGTCATTGAACCGTCGCCCTTTCTTGCTTTTGGCCCCCACAGGAGTCTCCTGCTGGATCATGTGCATGTCCGACGTCACCGAGTGAGACATCTCGCTACAGGAAACAGAGTGGATACAAGTGCAAGAAAACAGACATAAGAAAAAGGTAACTCTTCGATCTGCTGCACTGCAGGATCACTGCTTTGAAGAATCTCAATCGTCGTACCCTCTGCTGCCCAGTCCCATGCCCAGTCTCTCAGCTTGTTCCTTCTTGTTCCCCTCAAATCCTTAAACTTCTTCTCCTCCACTTTCCTCTGCTGCTCAAAATCCTTATAGGCCAGTCGCAGAGATGGAGTGCTGAGGACAAGAAAGACAAGAGCTTTAAAAAAAAAAGATCAACACAGGGAGGGAATAAGCAAAAAAAAAAGAAAGCATTACAGAAACAGGAGGACATGAAGAGACGTACATGGATTCTTCAGGTTGGGTGTTCTTCTTGGTGGACGCCGGCCCCCCCTCTTTCTCTCTGAGCTTGTCGGCAGCTTGAGCTTTCTTCTCCAGCTCGGAGAAACTCTTGCTGCTCACCTTCTGAGCGCCAAGACCGCCTTTCTTAGAGGCCAACTAGGAGCAGACACAGTTTGTAAGGCAAAGTCTGTGACAATGTAATCAAAGATAGAGACAAAGGTTTATGAATACATACGGTTTTCTTGGCAGCAGCTGGCTTCTTCTTAAGAAGAGACGGGACATCTGGACAGATCAAACAGTGAAGTTTATATCCTCTTCTCCAATAATTCAGATACAACGTCTCCCAAGTAGGGATTTTCAAAATTTCAGCTTTGTTGCCTTTGGTAGCTATGGCGATAAGGGATATCTTACAGGGATCCAAACAGGAACCCTGCAATTGGCTTTGACTTTTATTTCTAAATCGGAAGGTTGAATTTGTTTAATTTTCTTAACCTGCTTTTAAAAAGTGTCACAGTCAACTTTTCTGTGACTGCTATGTAATAGTGTTTAGTTGTGAACACGGGAAAGACAATAGAAACACTTCAGAGCTTCTGTCTTAAGTTCTCCAACAGATCAACAACTGGGAATATTAACTCAGCCCCCCCCCCAGCTTTGTAATACAGAATAATACTGCAAATACATGGTTTCATCAGTTTACTTTAGGCTGTTTCTCTATTGTATTAACTCATTCAGCAAAACACAATCACTTAAAATACACCATTAAACTAAAAATGTTTAGGATTATAACTTAAAGTGAATAAAAAAAAAATCATACCTAGATTTGCTTTTGGAGACATACTAAGCATATCCACGCTTGGACCCTCCTCTGGAAAAGATATAATTTATTTGTGATCACCCACATCGATGTTATTGCGATAAATACACCTATAAATGGTTTGTATGTTGTTTACAAGAAAAAACGTTTTACCATTTCCATTCTCCTCTTTAACCGGAGTTGAAGGCCTCTCTGATAAGGTCGAGCTTAGACTCATTTTGCCAATGTTCAAGTTTTCAGGTTCAGACTGAAAAACATTACATGGACACTAATGACTTTTCTGCACCACTGTTTGGGAATCAAACAAGCTCTTCATAAAAATCACTTCTGAACTAAGAAATCCCACATCCCTACCTGTGAAAGCAGACTGAAGAAATCCACCTGCTTGTCGTCTGGTGCTGTTGGGGAGAGAGGAGCCTGACTGTCGAGCCACAGCTGCACAGAAGAAGAGAAGTAAAATGATTCAACGTTTTAACGTTTTCAACCATTTTATGCAAAGTGGTATAAGCTAATCTCAACCACAAAGTTACGAAACACATCTGCTTTCACCTCGGTGCCATGACTCCTGGTGGCCTGTGTGCCTAAAGTCTTTATCTTGTCTCTGTACAGCTGAGCGGCTCGGCTGTTGTATTTGGAATTTGCGGCGCTTGTTGTGCAACCATGTTGGTTGAAAAATGAAATCTGGAAAAAGCAAACAGGAAACAATGTAGATACAAAAGATGCATGAGATTCAATGCTTTGAGGATTTTAATACCGTGCAGCTGATATTCTGCCTTTATGTACTGACCGCACTGGCATTGCCTCCAACTTGCATACACCTCAGCTGAAACCAGGACCAATTAAAATCCAGCTCCGTGGACCTGCGGATCACAACAGTGTTAGGATCTGAACAACCCTTGATTATTTTTATGTGACTAAACGGGTTTGAGAGGTACATGAAGTTTCTTTCCCCAACTCTTGACTCATGTCTAGGTTTTCTTTATTTTTTAAAATGTTTCGGGTCACACATTTATTTTTATTTTTTAAGAAATGAATCCATACTTGAAAGTTGTCATCGATTGTTTTAATTTTATATAAATTGGTTCATGGCTTCATCCAGGTTCTTGTAGCAGATGGTTCAAATTCCTCCAAGCACGCACAGGTTTCAAATGACCTGAACGATAGCTTATTATCATTTGAACGCCGTGCACTTTATTTGCCTTTCTTTTTATAGTACCTCCACCTCTTAGATCAGTGGTTCCCAAAGTGGGGGTCGGGGCCCCAAGGTGGGTCGCCAGCCACCAAGAGCTGGGGGGGGGTCGCGAGATGCCTTCCATAAAAAATTAAAAATCATTTAAAAGTGCATGAGTATATCTTTTTACCATTTTTGTAAATATGCAAAAAGTAGTCCAATGTCATATAAGACAGTATCATTAAGTTATTTTTTTTAGGCTGTTGTATTATTTTGTGCGACTAGTTTTTTGGATAGGTTTATTAGTGTGTGCGTGGCTGTCGCTACGTCATAAACCTAACTAACCACCTTAAAGAACAGTGGGGGGTTTCTGTCACCCTTATTTTGGGGGTCACGACCTGAACTTAGATTACCCAATTTAATTAATTGATTATTTATTATAATGTTTGTAATGTCTTGCCTGTTTACCATTTCTTGCTGACTGCCTCTTATGTCAACAGTGTTTGTTTTTGAAAAGTAGTATAATGAAGAAATCCTGACTCACCTGATGAAGGACAGGTGCACCCCAAGAGACCTGTGAGTCCCAGAGCAATCTATACAGAGGAACACCCCATAGGTGATGCTGGCCCAACTCGGGTTTTTAGCCGAGCAGTCAAAGCAAACCTACAGAAGAAGATGCAGAAAAAATATGTGTAGATTCATCCACTTTTTAATAAAGCATGCAGGACTGAAGCTTCCTCTATCCCCTCTGCATGGAGGATCATACAATTAATAAAAATACATGTGTGTCTGGTGAATGAGTTGCTGATTCAAACAGCTGTTGGGGAATTTCTCAATGGAGTTGACTTTTTTTGCAGGGATGATTCAGGCCCTACTTTCTTTCTTTCTTTCTTTCAATTTAACAAGTGAACTCCAGGTGTGGAAGAATCTAAACGCAAACAGAAATGAAGCACTCAACAAATATGGCCAATGTCAGCTGTCAAAATGTAGCCACCTAACTGGGCTGTCAACCACCTGGCTAATGTTGCGTCAGGTGATCTTTTGTGACAGACAGCCCTCCTGTAAATGTCACAATATGGTGTTGACACACAGATGGTTATTTCTTATGTGTTCATTTAATTCAGGGTGGGAAAAAAACCACAAGTGTCAGCGGGTTAATTAAGCCAGTAGGTTAAAAACTCGCTTTCGCGTTTCTCAGTGCGACGTGTCCAATGTTTTAGTTCAGCTGACTTCCTTGTTGAAGAGAGAAACACACACAGGCGGCTGAAACTCTCACCTTGTTCGGAGGAATGGAGCGAAGTCGCTTAAAAATAGTTGAAATCTCTTGCTTGCTGGGCTCTGACATGGTTCAGTCCGTGGGTGATACCTGTCGGGTTACAGAAGTAGCAGGAAAAAACAAGACCTGTGTTTTTCCCCTCAGTAATAGTCGAGTGCGACACGTCAGTAGGAGACCGTCATACTCAAGCTGTGATTGGATGAAAGCGCCCCGTGGTTATGTTATTGTAGCAAGGCCTTCTGGGTAATGTGGTTTACATTGGCGGATGGCGTATTCAGTAACAGATGCATTAATTTGGCTGCTGTTTAACAATACATGTTTACGTTTTTCTTTTTCTTTTATTTATGTATGTTTTTTTGTGTGTTTTATACATGTCAAAACACAACAGAAAAAAACAATTCATACTTATATGTACGGAAAGGAGCAGGGAGAAGAATAATTCTTGTTTTGCCTGCTTCCCTTACTCAAAAAGCACAGAATAAATGTCTGGATGGTCCAATTACAGGTAATGAATGAATATCATGCCAACATAAAACAAATCTGACAATTCAGTCTTTTACTTCCTCAGAAAGTAGAAGGAAAACACACACAGAACACTGATAACTTTGTTCTTGTACATTTTCTTAAACTGAAATATCTGAACACAGCCCCTTCAAGTCATTATTTAAAGAATTCCACAATTTAATTCCAATGACAGAAATACACTTCTGTTTTAAAAGTCCTCGCAAACTGATGCTTAAAATGACATTTTCTTCTATGCTCTTCTGAGTTTTCACATGAAGCGTCCCGCAAAATAATGCTTTAATTTCTACAAGACTTGCTGCCACACCATGTAATGTTTCCACAAGATAATTAACCTGTGCTTACAAGGTGATACATTTTTTTCTCACTAGATAAGAATATCACCTTACGGTACATTAGAGATTCAGCTCTCGAGACAAAGACAACATTTGTTTTTCCAATAAATTCATTTATTATGTTGTGAGACAACATTTACAAACCTTACTGTGCAAGTACATCTGTTGCTGCGTGTCAACGACAGCATGCCCTGAAAACATGAGCACGACATCTCCTTTCTCACAATTAATAAATGCAAAAATATCTTATCCTCCTCTCCTGCTGCAGTTGAAGGCATTAAAACAGCATTTTTTCAATGATTTCATCGTTACACTGGGGAAGCTCATGAAGTCGGAGCTTGAACAAATCAAAAACCAGCAGTTTATCCTACAAAACATGCGAGCGGTCTAAATACTTGATGATCAAAATGTATCATGTATTAAGGTAATTTCATCAGCTGTATCCATTTGTGTCATAGCTCCAAGAATATAATTCAGAAGTATTTATATGCTATTATCTAATTAATTAGGCTCCTCAATAAAGGAAAAAAAAAATCATATTTACAAATGTAACAAAATAACAGATTTCAGGGATATTTGCCATAAAATATTCAATTACTATACAAATTGATTTTCAGTCACAGCATTCTAACAAGAGTAGAACAAAAGCACTTGTGGCATCATAAATTAACAATCAACTTCCAACTACGTATGATCAGATTTTCACCCTCAATTTGTTCTAGTACGTCTCATTGAGGCTATTTACATGAATGTATGTGACACCATACTCAACTGTTGTTTTATTGCATATAACATACACTAAAAATATACTCTCCCATACCTTGACATTTCAAAAAGAAGTGAGAGGATTAGACATGGCGATTCAAGTGCGATAAACGTGTGAGAGATTTTCAGTGTTGCATGAAACGTAGCCCATGCCGGTGGCTGCAAAACAAACAAAACCCTAACATAAGCAAAAGTGAACAATCAAGAAGTGAGAAAATACAATCAGTGATTATACATTCAATGCCAGTGAACTATTGTAGACTATGCCAGGATATGGCTCCTTTGATCGCCATTATTCCAAAATCTAACCAGAACAGTGAATGAACTGAGTGTATTAACAAAACCCTGAAAAGAATGGCAAAACTATGTAAGCACTAAAAAAAAATCACTTTCAATCTGGCACAATTATCTCAACATAAGGGACTACTCTGTCCACTAAAATGAAAGAATTTACATTTCTGGACTAGATTTGATCAGGCACAGAGCAGGTCATTATAAAGAAGGTCCTCTCCCTTAATGAATCCATAGTGGCTTGCATATCAAGGCTGCATGTAACATCGCTAGACAATTAGACTGTCATCCCAGTGTTTTTTTTTAAACAATACATAAATTCACACAAATCTTATTGAATCGTATCTAATATATACTTGAAAAGCTTGTATTCTTTTTTGTAACAGCATAAATGGGATTTCTAAATAACATGACATATCTTACACTGACAGCATTTTTTTTTCTCTGAGCTCCTCCTCCCCCTGAATCTGGAAACTTGTGGTTTATTTCCATCTTTTGTACTAAGCTTCTATGAGGGTCGATCTGTGACGAGCAACAAGATTTTGAGTGGTCCATTCATAATCTCTCGGTCCATCTCCCACAGCAGTGCAGTCTTTACTAACAGGGAGGAAACGGTTAAAAAAAAAATGAGGCAGAGCTTTCATGTTTCCAGCCGCACTGTCATTTCCCAAAACACTACTTTCTTCTTCCTTCACATTTTTTAATTTACGTGATGATTCATTACTGGATGTCTTCAACATAGTTAGCAGGATAGAGGCCGGTTTTTCCCTCCTTGAGCCGACCTTTGCACCAACCCTGATCGTCTTCCTCGCCAATTTTGGTGAACTCATCCCCTAGAGAGAGTAAGAATGAGGAGGTGAATATTTGTATTCAAGAATTGTAGTCCCAATTTGTAGTCCAAATCTTTAACAAGAGTATGACATGTACCTGCTTTGAAGCTCAGCTCGTCCTGCTCTTGTCCTTCATAGTCATAGAGGGCTCTGACCGGTACGGATACGACCGGAGAAGCCGGCTCCTCTTCAAATGGATTCCCATCGCCGTTAGTTGAGAAAGGGTTTACGCTTGTGTCTTCATCTGACCAGTCAGGAGTCTTCTCCACACTGCTCGCACTGGAGGGACAGACAAAGTAGCCCCTTAGAAAACAGGTTTCAGTGTTTATGCCGAGGCCTCTTTGCATTGACGGGATAACCCAGTCATGCCAGGTGTAAGCAGGGACAAAAAGATAAAAAGTTAGAAAAGCAAGAAAATATATCAAACACAGACCAAAGTAGAGCACACAAAACAGGCCAAAGTGCATCTTCAAAATCCAGGGACTTTTTCTGATTCTTCCTGGTAACAGTCTCCATTCAGTTCTAAATAAGTGGAGTACATGCTTACTTCTTACTGCATCAATGCTACAAAGCAAGCATTCAGTTCAGACAGCAAGACAAATGATTTTCAAGTCGCTCTGGACTTCAAGTGAAAAGTGCACACAGCGCCAAAGAAAGGCAGCAAAACGACATGACAACATATCAAAAGACACGAAAAAAAAAAAAAAACAACAACACAGCAACATGAGACGAAGCAAGACAAATCATCGATGTGAGTGCATGATTGGATTTCAGCATGAGCGGCCAGCAGAGGGCGCCACCTAAACACCAGACAGAGAGCTTTTTCTATGCTCTGACAGAGTTACAAGGTGAAAAACTGTAAACAAACACCAGCACATACAGAGAGGAATTACAGTCAGATCTGTTCACTGCAAAGTTACTATGGCACTAAATGACCTGCTCATTTATCTAACTAGGTGATATCTGAAGTCATTTCTATCCAGTGTTAGAGATTCTTACAAAAAATTTAATGTTTTTTATTTACCATTATTATGTACACAGGGCAATTTTTGTGTGGATATAAAAGACAAACCTATATATTGCAGGTAACTTAAATACGCCCTGAGGTTTTTTCCATATTCAGATCTGATTGTAAGACAGAAACATATTGGATGTTCCACTAGGAGAGACATGCGCCCCCATGCGCATGACATTCAATGTTTTGCAAGACATGGCACTGTTAGATGTGACAGACGAACACACAGGCTATGTGTGAAAGGCTATTCCAGTGACCATGCAGAGCAAAAAAAAACAACAACCAGCCACCTGAGGGGGGGAAGGAAGAGTTACAAGAAAGAAGGAAACTGAGTAAATAAGAAAAAAGAAATGGAAAGAGACGCAGCACGAACGGCGCTCCGGGAAACAAAAGATGGAAACAAAAAAAAAAAGGCGGGGGGAGGGTTTGTAGGAGCATGAAGGGGTTTTCTCCTGTTCACCAACGTTTTTATTTCCTCTTTATTCACACTGATGTGGTTGACTGTGGTCTGCTGCTCCACTGCCACCTCCTCCTCCTCCTCCTCCTCATCGTCTTCCTCTTCATCATCTTCAAAGGGGTTTGAGCCAACTGGCGCTGTTTTAGGCACAGTGAGGCTGACAACATGGGACACAGTGAGACACGGGTTGTTGACATGCACACACACTAGGGCTGTCATGATATCAGAATTTGAAACTTCGATCCGATACTAGAGAAAATCAACAATTTTCGTTTTGATACAACAGCAACTAAAATAGAAGTCCTAATCACCCAATTTCTTGATTTAGTTACAGAAAGTTGCAGACAACCTCACAATGTCTAAATTGCACAAATACAGAATTTGTGCAATTTAGACATTGTGTAGGAGTTGACTTACATTTTTATGGATTCATTCCTCCAGACCACCCGTGTCGTATGAAAGATGTTGTTTTGGAAAGCTTCTGTACGTTTTAGATCATTAAAGCCTGTATCATGGTATCCAGAAGTATCAAGAGAATCGATAATTCTGACAACCTTAACGCACACAAACACATGAAAATATAGCAAAATTGCTATATTGATGGTCTGGGCTGGAATTGAGAATCCTACCTCGCTCTAAGATCAAGGACCTATTATTACAAAAATGACATATAATTTAAACTGTATGATTGTATACAGTGTTACAAAGGAAAGCTTACACACAACAGAGACTGAGAGGGATGGGAATAATGAATAAGCACAAGTGACATCAATAGTGAACCTCTGTGTAAACCCGTGTTTAGACGAAACACAGTTACAGTCACAATAACAGTTTCACCTGTTTAGATTTGAGTGCTTCCATTAAAACCACATTTTATACAAACTATAAAAACAAAAGGACGGTTCCTGAGTGACACATCAAACACTGAATCGTCAGCTCAGGCATGTGTAGGTGCACAATCTGTCTTTTGAAGTCACATGAGGGCGGTTTACTTCCTGCTATTCTGACTTTCTGCATCAAAGAACAAAAACTTGCGCCGGCCCTCCACCTGTATCAGAGGAAACAGAGTTTCTTCTCCCTGTTTACAGAAGTACCGGACCATTTACAACAGCAGTGGCTACGAGTTGGCCCATGAGGAGTGTGAAACGGAGAAATGTGAACGCCTTTGTTTGTGTAGTCATGCCATGCGCCTCTGACTTAAGCCTGAGGAGTTACTACAGCAAACACTGTCCCACTGGGAGTCTGGCACAATGTAACTTTGGACGTTTTTAGTAAACACATACGCCCCACCTGAGAACTAGGAGCCTAAGTATTCAAAGAGTGGTTTATATTACCCAGTGGATTTTTTCAACTATATTCATTCAAGCTTGAGACAACACACTAGTGAAAACGTTTACATGCTTTTTAATGCTGTTAAAAAAAGAGGAAACTACATCATGACGTCACCATCGTTCACAAGTCTCTTAAAAATCCTTTGTGACTGCACAAAGATAATTACGGCTCTATCAAGACCCAGTACGTACACAAAATCCCCCCAGTCACACCCACAGATGAAGGAAACGACAGGAAAACAATGTGCTGTAAATGCTGGTTGGGGGAGAGCCAGTCCCAAGGCAGTCAATTATCCTAAGTTCGGAGGTCAAATGCTTCCCGTGCCTGACATTCCCTTTGTTGACTCCTCTGAACACTCCTCTTTAGAAATGCTGCATACACACATCTCCCTGCTGATGTGTGGATAACAGCAGACGGCAGGTTAATGCTGGTTGATTAAAAGAACCTGTTTTAACCCACGTTACCAAATTGTGAAGAAATATGAAGTTAAGACCAAGTAAGTTTAACAATATGCTCAAACACAACACAGGATACTCACAGTTAACTGAACTTACAACAACAACAAAAAGCAATATAACACACAAAGAAACTCGATACAATAGGATATGACCCGACATGGTACATTCTGGTACATTGCGCCATGGTGCGATAAGATACCATACGATATCATTCGATGCACTTCTTCACTTCACACTGTGCTGCCTCCACAACTTGAGCAATTAGCTCAACAATGCAGGGACTAAACAACTCTCACTTTCAAGTAAAGCTTAACATAAATATTCCAAACTGAATCTGACTCTTCAGTGTGGTTTGTCACTATTTCGATGCATGAGAAGTGTTTTTAAATCCTTATCAGCTGCTTGCCGTCGTATCCATGAACCAATGTTATGTCCTCCATGCTGTTGCCACAACACCAAAGACACAATTCTTTGCTGGGAATTTTGATCTTATTTTATCTGGGCTGAGAACGACGACATCATGTGATCAAAAGCAGCCAGGTCAAACATTTAGAGGCTTTTAACTCTGACTGAGACGTCTTCTTCATCACAGTCTACAGAATTAGCTGTCTAAAAACACAATACTTATCAAAAACCTTCATGATCCCAGGTCCATGTGTTCGACTTGAGCACTACTATAAAAAAAATAAAAAAAACCTTTCCAGTCACAACATTTCATGCTCAAGGTCTCGCCGTGTATGAGTAACATTTCCCCACTACTTTTTGGCTTCCTCTCAAGAATGTACCAGCCGACTCCAGACTCGACAGTGGAATTATTTTTCAGCAAACGGTGACCAAATGTTTACCGTTGCCCCTGGAAACAACCCCACAACCAGACGTCACACCGGAGCTCCCCTTACGTAACGTTGAAGACCGTGTGAGGATTATCTCCGGTGTTGGGAGTTTAGTTGGTGAAGAGTGTGTGCAATACGGACAGATGCTCAGTTTTCTGTGTGTGTGTGTGTATGTGTATGTGTATGTGTTTGTTTAAGACCAAAAAGTAAGCCAGTGATGAATGAGGTATCTACCTGCTGCTGGTCTTGGCGGGCTGCACAGGCTGATCTGACCCAGTTTGACTGATGCCTGTCAGAGTGACGCCCTCTGATGGTTTCTTCTTTTCTCGTCTGCTGAGGGTTCGGTTCAGGTCTATGGACCAATCCTGGTAGACACACACACACACATATTAGAGAAAAGTATTACACGTACAATTTACAACTCTGCGGTTGGCTCCAAACACGCCCTCACATCTAGTAGAAGCAAGTCACAGGCAAGTGCACAGCAATTCACACACACACTTCAACACAGTCCGTCATACATCGCTCAGGCTCTGACCCAGTCGCTGAATCTCAAAACTGTACATGCATGCGTGTGTTTTTACAGTGCAGGCCTGAAAAGACACAGCCATGTACAGTGTCCAATCACCTGTTGAGAGAAACACAGAACCAGGGAGTGTCCCCTCCACCAGAGGATAACCCAGGAGAGTGGAATAAGAGAGAGTGGAATAAGTGGCCGAGGGCCTCTGGACAATGGTTAACTTTAGAGCCACTTTTTGACAGCTTGTTATCAATCTATAGTTTGAGCCATGTGTGTCAATTAAACGATCATCACTCAGACAGAAGCAGTACTATCCCTCTTTCATATAGATGATATATTACACTGCTAACTATGATCATAGCTTCCCAAAAGGCTTCTCTGACCCCTCTGATTTATCAGCACTCTCACACTTTGAAAGATCAAAAGGTTTGCTGTTCGGCTTGTCGTGGCTCATGACCTCTGAGACTCTGTGACATTGCTGCTGAGCCCTGGTGGCATCATGAGACGCACTGCAGGGGTCAAATGGGAATCAGAATCATGAGAGGGAGTGCGAATGAGGGGTCAGAGTTTAAAGGTTAGAAAGAAAAGAGAGACAGACGTGTTTACAGAGGAATTGTGATATCCAGGAAAAGGACTGTAAAAATTGTGTAGATCTCAGGTAACAGGAACATACTACAAGTGCAGAGGGCAGCCATGTGGTATCTGAATGTACCATGTGCATCTTTGTCTCGTTAATATTCTTTGAGATGCAAGATAGAAAGAACACCACTTCATACACACACACACACACACACACACTAATGGAAGCAGTAAGGCGTGAGAGTGTTATTGGAAAAAAAAGGATCTCTCCCCATGGCTGTTGTGAAAAGAACAGCCCTCCCATGCAGAACTCACTACAATGGACCTTCTCTTAAAGGAGCGAGGGTGGGACCAGTCCAAATTCTGTTAGACAATGGGAAAGGGAAGCAGGTGTGGAACAGAGTTAATGAGGACAAAAAAAAATCCTTAAAAACGTTAGTTTTTGAGTGGCAACGATCTAAAAAAAAGAGCCAGGAGCTCGAAGAACAATTACAGCATGAGTGAGGGGTGTTTGCTCCCAGTTTGTCCATGTTTCCTTTTGAATATCTACCCTCAAGGAGCTGCCTTACTGCTTCTTCTTCTTCTTCTTTTCGTTTTGAGTTTATCTCATCACAGAAAATATTGATCCCCTCTTTAAAAAAAAAAACAACTACAAAAACAAAGCCCTACTCAAAGAAAAACAGCCTGGTGATGATGTAAGGATTGAAGTGGAATAAGCAGCTACTTTGGAGCAGCAATGCCTGCAAGCGCACACAAAAACAACACCGTAAATTGTTCCACTGCAAGCGCATGCAGTTTTTCGTCGCCCTCCCTCTCCTCTTCTCTTCTTATTTAACCTCCTGATGGGAGGATGACATAAACTACATCCCTGTGAATGCCACTCTGAATGTCCAGGATAGATTTACTTCCACCCCTGCTGCCAAATAACATAATTCAATGCCAAAGAATGACACTGGGCTATAATTCCTTCTATGGCTTCTTCAAGCATTAAATAGAACTATGGCAATGTCGCCCTTGTTTTTGTTTTTTCTCCTAAAACATTTTTCAGTATGACTTATTACACAACTTCCTCATTCCTCCTGTCTGGTGGTTCTCACAGTTGGGCTTTAGGAGCACCATGGGGTCTCTAAGTAAGTACTGCATTACTAATTAGATCACTATGTACATACAATGGCTATTACTTTGTGTCTACATGTCAGCACCAAAAAATAAATCCTTCAATAAAATCAGGGCCCATGAGCTTATGTGTTTGAGAACTTTTTAGAAGCTAAAAAAAGCCTCTTTAGAAGGATCCCCCTCCTTGTGCGGACATTTAGCCTTCCTTCTCTTGTCCTACCATTTCATGAGTATAAGGTAAGGCTGTAGTACCTCAAACTGAGGCCAGTTCATCGGCATCCCTGGGCCTTGATTGGACCGGAACCATTTCAGGTCATCTTCAGCGTCAGTAGCAGAGACTGTGTCTTCCAGCGTGTGGTACACTGTTTGGAATCTATGGAGAAAGTATTTTGTCAGCATCTTTTCCAGGAGCTACATTTATGCATCCAGACATGTCCGAATAACGTTTGAAAAAAAATAAACGTGTGACCTTACAATGTCCTTGGGCTGACCTGTGATTGGTTGATAGATCGAGGTGCTGTTTCACCTCCAGCAGCAGCTCACTGAAGAAGCGGATGCGTTTGTCTTCAAACTGCTGCCACTGCTCGAACACCTGCTCCATGTTCTCCATGTACTGAGGGGTCACTTTGTCGAGCTCTTCAAGGGATTTCTCATAGCGTTCTTTAGTCTGAGAGACAGAGAGGAGTAAAGTCAGGATTAGAACACAGCAAAACAACATGGCGTCTGAGTGATGTGTGTCTCTACCAATGTGCACGCCCCTTTCAGCAGACTTTGCTTCCTATGCTGGTTATTTATAACGTGTCCAAATCACAACTCCTCTCAAGATCTTTGGAAAGAGCACCAGCCAAGTTTTGAGGAAGTCAGAGTAATATTTGATGATTCATATGTCTGAGGATTTCAGACGCTAGCAGATGTTAAAAACTGATTGCTTGGCAGATATTCATAAAGAACTTTTAAGTGTTGGTGTGTTCCTAACTCTAAGAATATACCCCTTGTTATCGTTACATTTAAAGATAAGACCTCTAATTCCTCTCTTAAAATGCCAAAAAGACAATCCAGTCAGCCAATCTTGTTATTTTCTAAAGGAAACCCTACCTTCTGCACCTCCTGCTGACACTTCTCCACCTTTTCCTGGAGCTTCTTTTGGGCTTCGGGGTTGTTGTTGCTCTCCAGTTTGCTGTTAGTCTCCCTGCTGGCTGCTAGCTTCTCCTCTTTGCATGCAGAGTGGTAAGACTTCTTCATTGTCTCCACCTGCAGATTCAAGCAGTGAAAATAAAGTACAAATGTGAACAAACTCAAAGTGCTTAAGTTGTTTGGACATCTTAGGCAGGGATAATTTTTTAGACGTGTGAATGTTTTTTCCAGTCTTGAAAGAAATGGGAGTTTCTCAGGTTTGTTTCTGGTCTTATTTTTCTGCTACTCATTTGTCTATTTGGGAATGATGACAACCTATTTCCTACTGAGAGAAGCTTGCTCATCAAGGCCCCAGACACATGGATTTTGGAATGAATGAATAACCTGGATGACACTTAATGTACAATAACCAACTCATTAAATGTAGGCAACATGGAAACCTTGACGCCTGATCATTTTGTGTGTGTGACGCATTTATAACAACAGGAAATAACCACTCCTCGAACACTTTGTGTATATTTAGTCATCAAATGAGAATTGAGGAAGTACAATCGTGCATGGTTGTTCTATTTAAAGACTGTCTTGGGTAGGGCCAGAGCAGGCATGTCCCTACTGAACAAATTATGATGTAATGTCATTCAGTTGACAGCACTTAAAATCCAAAGACAAAAGTCTGCACTTCTCTATAATTTGATAAAACAGGCGGCTGTGTTCTTAGTGTGTGGGCAAAACTAAGTTTCCATCCATTAAAACATATAAGGGCCTCGGACTATGAGTTGCACTGTATCCTCTTTAGCATGTATGTGTGTATTGTCGACATACATGTCAGCAACTCATTTTCTGGACTAGTTAATTAGCCTAATTTTCTCTCTGCCCTCTACTACTTGCCCTTGTCTGTCTGGTCAATCAATAAATCACTACGACAAAACTGTCCCTGCCGCTCAATGACAAGGCCAGGATGTCACATACCCACTGGTAACAATACACACACACAGGAAATGAGGCAAGAGGCCTAGAGGTTGCACAAGGTTCAGTGGCTTTAAGGAAACAAATACTTGCATATGCAGTGGTTGCAAATTAGTCTTGACTAGAAACCTGTATGCATGGCATCTATTTTATATTTTATATGAAACAATGTACAATGTATTTGTCCCTGCTCAATAAACTTCAGTGTGTAGGATGATTACAAGGTATGACACGTATAGTAATTATGATGATGACATTTGGAAAGCGTTTCATTTGGACTAAAGCACAGATTTTTATTGATAAGTGGAGAAGAGCTTATTTTACTAAAGTTTGTTGACATGTTTTGAGAAAATACACGTTTACTTTGCATAATGTAAAAGCTAGAATCAAAACTATCTTTGTCTAAGGGAATATTTCATGCACAAACAAAGAGAGGAATGCATGTGCTCCAGAGTAAATAGGCTGCTAAAGTGTAAGCAGTAGTAGGAAATACATTGACCTGATTCTGAACTAAAAGAAGCCAGTCTTCCTACAAGCCCACCCCCCAGTGTTTCCTTCCCTTCTACTGACAGACTAAGGACTACAGGATACAAGGACTGGCTCTCGCCTTGGCCCACTGTGGCTAATGTTCTGCAATTGCTTCTCATGCAGGATGGAGACGCTGCAAAAGGGTTTCTGCTCTGTTGATGTAAGCAGGTAATCATGGAGGGAAAACAAAGGTGAGTCAGTAATATGTACTCATGTGAAATGAAGGGTGAAATTGAGAGCCAAAGTATTAGTGCATATGGAAACTGCTTGACTGTTAGTTTGAAAAATGTGACTTGAAACATGCTACCACATTAAACCGCTGAAGTACAGTGTATGTGTTGGATAGGTTTGACTCCCACACCTCTTTGAGTTTTTTCGCCCAGGGTTTCTGAGCCTTTCGGAAGCCGTCATCCGCCTCTTTCGTCTCTTTGAAGCCGCCGATCATCTGTTTGTGGTAGGCATCTCTCTGCCAGTTCTTCAGCTTCTCGTAGTCTTCTCCCATCAGGGCCGATTTCACCTCCATGTGGAGCTCGCTCACCTTCTCCGCCTCTGTGCACAGGGCTGACCACGCCCGCTCCAATGTACCGTACTGAGGACCTGAGGAAGGAGTTACCACCGGTCAGTGTCTGTGAAAGACTCTCAGGGAATATAGTAAAATACATCTGTTTTCAAATAATGTCAACGCATTTGTATCATAGTGCATTCTCCCTTATAGAGGACACATGATGTCATTAGCACACACGCTCTGACTCCAGAGGAAAAAGCAGCTACATTAAATCTAATACAAAGCTTGAGTTTGATATATTCTTACCTTTTTCTATGAGTTGTCTCCATCGCTTCCCCCACTCTGTGAGCTGCTGTGCGTAAGCCTTTTCAATACGAGCCCGCTCATGAATACAATTCATCAGATCATTACAGAGTCGGTGTCCATCATCTACTCGTTTTACCGTCCGCTTGTAGTTACCAACCTGAGAACAGAGACCATTAAGGTTGTCAAAATGTGCAATACTTTGATACAACTTGTTTCAGAACAAAACAATCTCTGCAATTCCCATGATCCCCCCCCCCCCAGTCTCAATGTCATATCTAGTTATTGTTTTGATTGCGAGCCCCCTGCTGGCGGAATTTACATACTGTGCATTTTAATGTTTTTTGTGTTGCACATTGATTGTGGTAAAGAATTTGTTCTGACTGGATTTTTTTTTTTTAATAACTTGAAGATGAGACGTCTTTTATTCTATAGCAACATTTAAAGCAGCATTTAAAACTCACTGAAGAAAAACTTGCATCCTGGGTTTAGATTTGTAGGAACAAATTCCTGTGACTTACCTCCCAGAAGCTATCACTGGAGACATCGATCATGGAGTCATCGTAGGACCCTGACATCGCGGCTGCCCTGAGTTACACTTGGTGTAGGGCCTTGAAAAAAAAAAAAAGTGTTAATTAGTTGAATTAAAGTGATTACAGCACTATCATACCTTACTCACTCTGAATGCCTAAAACCGGAATTTCTTCTTCTTGTATTTTATAGTTTGACAACACTTGACAGCCAGGATTATAGACTATAGATGTGCAACAAACAGAGAAGGAAACATATCTTTCGATCACTCCGTCACACATCGCTTCACCTTCACTTTCTCTTTGTGTACTACGAAACTCACGGCTGAATACAACAACATGGCGCCAACTTTGATCACTGTCATGACAACATTCTCCAGATATTACAGTTATGGATGAAACACTGATAAGACGCTGAATACTGTGAGAGACAGGTCAGAAGATGGAAGGGGGAGGGGAGTCAAAGTGTGTGATCTGGTTTGATAATCTAAGCAGCAGGTGGGTGTTTTAGCTATATTTATAAGCTCTCTACTCACCAAACGGAAACAACAGCAGTGTTGCGAGCTGCACAAGAGATCAAATCAGCCATAACGTGTGTGTGTGTGTGTGTGTGTGTGTGTGGTGGAGGGGGGGAGGGATCCTGACAGAGAGAGGGAGAAAAAATAAAACTGTCAAGAAGCACACAGCAGGCAGTTTCCGTTTCCTTCAGACGGGTACGACAGTCGCTCCTCTGTTACTTTTTTCTCTCCCCACGTCCATCATTTCAAACTCAACAGCCTCTTTATTCCTCCATCCTCTCCCACTCTCCATCCCCTCTCCCTCTCTCTCCCACTCTCTCTCACTCCTCTCACTCCTCTCCTACTTCTTCATCAGTCTGGAGCATCTCCCCTCTCTACAGCTCTGACTGGCCCCTGTTCAGATCGGGCATCTCTTAAGTAACCATTTATATTCAGACTGTGGTTACATCCAGCTGAGACAGACCGCAGACAACGGAACTCATCTAATCTGCATCTCAAGTGACACGTCTAAAAAAAGAGGACACATGATTTTGATTTCAATGACGCTACAGCATGTCATGATAAATCATTTAGCAGAGGATTAATTAAGCAATCTCTTTTTCTATCACTCAACTTCACTTTACTTGTTTATTTATTCTTTGACCAGTCTAATGGTCAGTTCCACTCATTCTTTCAAATATCAATTATCTCTGTCTAAATACCTTTCTCTAATTAGGAGCTGATCATATCACATAAGATGTGTTTTAGTGCCAAATGTGAACACACAGGGCCTCTTTCAGCTGAGTGAGAGGATGAGGGCTGGTTCTTAGTGTGTGTCAGAAAGAGTGTGTGTGTGTGCTGGTCATTGGTCAGTGGCCCGTGCCCTCCAGCGCAGGACTTGGACAGAGGGTGGTATTGTGGTCACTGCTAGCTGGGGAACAATTCTTCCTTTACACTGTGTGTAGTTAACAAGTAGGACAGTGAAACACACACACACAAACAGATGTGTGTCACTTTTTCTAGAGAAAAACCACATGTTTTTTCTGCTCCACATCTTTATGATAATGGACACAATTGTGAGTGTAGAGCACACTGCATATCAAATAGAACAGTAATATCAGAGCTCCCGTTGTGCTATGCTTACACAAAATTGAAATGCAATATGAATTCACACAACGGGACATCACTATTAGCTGATGTGGAACTATATGAATGTACAAAGACGTGATGAGGGCAGAGCTTAGTTACAGCACTTTTTTTAAATAGCAGTCTGAAAAGGGCCTGTGTAAACAAATGGGAAATGTCCCAACGTTTTAATATGCTGAGTGGACAGCATAATTATCCAAGGCTCAAGCTATCAGACTAATTACGGATGAGACTCAAAGATGAATGCAGGGTGTATTACCAGATGAATTATGTTTCTTATCACATTATTAAGATGCGTGTTGTCCTCTTGTCCCTTCTTTTATTTCCCTACCAGCTGTTGACATTCTTCATTCTACAAATCCCTGCAGCAGCATGACAGAGGACACATGACTAACACATGGCAAGCCTTAAAATATCTGCTCTAAATATGGTAACGAGTCGTCCGACCTGCTGAGAACCTGCATGGACTCCACATAAGAATTAATTATGTTAAAGTAAATGTCAATATTACAAATCTGGAGGAGGATCAGCGACGAGCTTTGATGCAGCCAACATGTCAAAATTCAAAGTCCCCATGAAATGAAAAATGTATTTTCCCATTCCTGTGTTAAATGTTTATTTATCTGCATTATATTTTCATAAAACATTATCTGGGTATTATATAACATTTCAAATGTCTGATGACTCATCCTGCACTCAGGGGTGTTTACTAATTTTTCCACCAATGAAAAAGCTTTGTCAAAGCTAACGATCCAATTGAAATACATCCCAACGTTATGTCCCATCTTCGACAGGGCAGTTAGATACTCCCGATGTTCAGTTTCATGGCAACTTTAAACAATGAAAATCAAGACACAATACATATAATACACTCTAATAAAATGATCAAATTTTATATCCCATCACTCAAGTTAAGGTTGTGTAGTCGTCAAATTTAAAATGAAAACATGAGGATGCACGTGTGTAGAAGGGGACTAAATAATTACCACAACAATGCATTTGGAGATTCCTTCAACACCAAAGCTCTTTCGCAGGCCTGATGTAATCAACGGCAAACAGGAACAACTGTCTGCACAACCTTGGCACTCTAGGACATGGGGGCTGTGTTGAACAATTGAACACGGCTTGACCCAGAACTGTAAACAATACTGTTGACTAAGTCGAGGTCTGAAGTCCACTCGATCTATCACTCGACAGGGAAACGCTGGAAAATCCAACCGTGCGTGCTGCTATGCACAACCAGAAAATAAGATGCATGAGAATCTACAGAAAAATGTAAGCCTGGGGACTTGTGTTATTATTTTTCAAATTTAAGTGACAGAAAAATCTGCAACAGTCTTTCATGCCAAGAAAAGCAAGATTTCAACAAGAATGCAGAAACTTAGAGCTCTTAAACTACAGGCTTAGCTATTACATAATCAAATACAGCACTTGTATCCACTAAAGACTGATAAGTAAATGTACTCAGCATGCTGGAATTCTGGTTCTGACAACAGCTAGATAGATAGAGGAGAACAGATGCATTCCTAAGTACTACCATGCCTAAAACTGAACATTGAGTAAGTTCCCACATTGTTACTACTTATTTAACTCAATCTATCAACACACAAATTAGCAAAAATATGTCTGACTACACTGTTTTAAAGAAGTAGTAGGGTCTTCTTTAACTTGTGAATAGCAAAAGCTAAGGTAGGGTTAAGAAGTAGACTGAGAGAGTCAAAGCAAGTGATGACTATGTGTGTTATTAAAAGCACATGAACTGTACTTTGCTGCTGGCAATGAGAAGACCTGAGTCATGTCTTAGTAACAGACACATGAGAGGCCAATGACCTTTAAAACCAGCACAGGCACAACATTGGACAGAGCTGTCTCCCCCCGGCCCCTCTTCCCTATTGATACACCATTTGTGGTTGCCATGTTGTGGACTCTGAAGCTTCAGTGTTTAGCCAGCTCTGCATCGGTCTTGAAACCTCTCTGCTTCCTAACCTCTCTCCATTTAGCCAGATAACTGGCCTCATATATGGCAAACCGAGGGGGCGTCCAAAACGGCCATGTAGGGGTGCCTTAACACCGCCTTCATACTGGCTTCTGCATTGCTGTTTGAGAAACCAGCACTTCCACATGTCTTATGAAATAGTAAGGTCATTTTAGGATTTAATTCAGTAGATATCTTACATTTTGCTCCTTTAAACGAGGAGACACGCAATGGAACATTTTGAAAAGATAGTGGGAACAAATTTAGAAGAAAATGTTCCTTTCCCAGAAACAACCAACAAGCTGTGTATTCATCTTGTGTTTATGTTTCTCTGAGGGTTGTCACACAGAATGAGTGACATGAATGGAGCGAAGGAGCAGGAAACAACAGGATACACATGCAGCAGAGATGAGCTCATACACGGCTGTCAAGCACGTGCACACCCTGGAGCGGTGGTGGTGTTATTGAAAGTGGCTGTAAAATAAAAACAAGAGCCCCAGGAAACCAAATTGGTATTCATGAAATCAACTTTTTTTGTTAGGATCCAGACCGTTGCTATTGAAACACTAAGTCTTCTCAGGCATAGCAAGGACATAGCTAAATTAATGTCACACAATCTCAACATTTCATTCTGCCTTAATCTGGCTCGATGGACTAATCAGTAACTGCTGGAAAAACCGAAATGTCTTTTTATCATATTTACTTTCCTGCGAAACACTGAGACCTTCTTGTTTTGTGTGCATAATTATCATGTAAGTAACAACCCACAGTGCTTACAGGATAATGGATGGCCTTCTTCTTATTGGATTTAAAAACAAGAGGAACTGTCTTTTCTCATGTCTGATTCTATGATTAGAGACACTATCGGTTATAAGAAGAACTTTCAAGATGGCAAGAGCCAACATTTCTTGTTCCAGAAATGCCAACTGGCTCATTATTTGTCTTGCGTGACGGTCGAGTGAATCTCATTGAGGATTAATGTAAAAACTCCTCACAGGAACTTTCAGAAGTAATTGATTTAAATACTTTCACCGTAAGCATCCGTCGATCAAGTCATTGACTAACTGACCAATCAATACAGGAAACAAACCGAACAGATGGATGAAACAACAATGATTTCTAAGAGGAACTATCATAATAATTGCTGGTTTTAGCTTTGTTCAGCATTGCTTAAATTACAAATTTTAAAAAGTGTTTGATTAAAACAAGCATGCTCAAAAAAGTAAGAGCTCTACTCTGCCAATGTCTTAATGACATGGAAGTTGCGTATCTGACCAGGGCTTGTTTTTTCTGTCAGTCTCCACTTCCTTCTTTTGTTGCATAAAACGCTGCAATATCTTGCATGCCTGGAGTGCCGTTGAGCTGATCTATCCCTTTAATATTGCAGTTTCACAGCAGGACAGCGGTAAATCCAGACCAGGCTTTGAGAAAGAAAAATACAATACTTGCACACTTGCAAAGAAGTGTAAAGGTCAAAAGTTTCCATGGCAATCACAGTTCATGACCATGATTTTTTTTCCCTGTCAGTCAAGCACCTCTGCCCTCCTTCATCATGTGAGCTCAACAGCTGCAGAGGACTGCTGATCTCACAGGACTATGGTCTTTCCAATGTGGATTCTCTGGACTGCCAGCTAACCAGCTATCCTTCTAGAGATCACTAACAGAGCTGTATGCCGCGGTTAAGGGGCTCCAAAAACATCAGACAATGAAACTGTCGGCCCATCAACACCAGGTCAACTGTAGCCTCAACATAACCGATCGGTCCGCCTTGCACCACTGTCAGAAACAATAGCATTTGTTCCACACTTTCAGGCATTTTCCACAGGGCAGTCCAGCAGCATGGAGAGGAACATAATGGAGGGAAATTCAGTATTACATGACAGGGAAGGGGAGATCCTGACGTAACCGACAGGAGCCTTTTCCTGTGGAAGCCCCCTGTCATGCACGCACTGTCCTGCTTTTAATGCATTTAAAGAAGCTGCAGAATTTTCAAGAAAGGTCTAGAACACAGTTCACCTGCTGTGTGTTTTTTTTAATATATTTATAGCTTTCTCCGGCTGCTTACGGGTGTATAATAACCTGAAACTCTATGGATACGACCCAAAAGCTACTATCACTGTCAGTTAATCGTTGAACCCATGAAGTGTCATAAAAAATGCCTGTTATAATTTCCTAGAAAGCAAAGTGACGCCGTCAATTCCTTGTTTTACCTGATGAATAGTTCCATGAAGACCCAGGATATCCAGATCATCAACTTTAAATGTCTTGATAATTGAACTCATATTTGGGCACTGTCACATGATCCCTACACACCCAGATGAAGTGTTGTCTGATAAGCAATCCCAAATCTAGATATTTAATGTAAAATCCTACATGTTTTCAAAATACTTGTAATTTAGTCTCTAAATAATCAAGAAATGGAAAAGGGGGAAAAATGATCGATGGAAGCACATTTAACAATATAAAGGGAGCATGATCTTTATTTATTTAAAATGAATTTAACCAGGGGAAAATCTCACATACAAACGTGTCCCGGCCAAGGCAGGCAGCAGCACATCTAACAAGACGTTTGGTCATATCTAAATTCAGTGATCTTCCTGCTTTCTCAGATTCTGACATTTGCATGTGCACTTGAAGAAAGCACAAATGAAGATCACTCTAAATGGAGAGCGGCGCCTTCAACGCAAACAGGAGTACTCAAGCTAAGTTTAGATTCGGTTCTGTGACGGTGCAATCAGTTCACATGTCCCCCCCCCCCCCCCCTCAGTAAAGAGGAACCAGCAAAGCTTTCACTACTGCTTTACCCTTGACAACAGCACCCCCCCCCCCCTCCCAACAAAGCACAGATACTGTTACTATGCATGACTGACAACTTCCAGTGATTCACTATTTGTATGACTATTTGATGTGTGTCATGCTTAGGAAGTTTCCTGTTTCGTGTGATTAATTACCAGGTGGTGACAGGCATTTGGTTGTAAATGATCAATACATTAAATAAACAGATGCACTGCCTCCAAGGAGAAACCTAACATGTCTTTCTGTGTGTGTGTGACTTTGAGTTTCAGTCTTAACATTCAGAATCAGGACTGAACTTGGCAGCTGGATGGCACTGCGTATTTCTTTTTTTTAAGTGAGCTGGGAGGATGGGTTAGCCCAGAATCAGAAAGGGCAACCAGCAGGAACTCATCCAACCTCTCCCTCGTCGGGAAAACACAACATTATACAACCCTGTAAACGTACAGTATGTATAATAACATGACAGGGACCATGGGCTATCTTAACTTGCGAAACCTGCCCCGCCCTTTATCTCCATGCAACTACACACTAGTCTCTTCCTGCGGGGGTAAAAATGTCAAGAGGAACTACACGTATTATCTTTGTTCCCAACAACAAATAAGGAGGGGGGACATTAATCCCTGAAACGTTTTGTACACCAGCTACGACACAACAGTGTATGGACTTTAAAACACTGGGACACCATAGTTACTGCAGTCGTGCTGTAACTCAAAACTTTATTTTAACATGTTATTATCAATAAGAGATTACTCAAGGTTGTTGTTTTAACTGAATTCAGTCATTTAAAAAAGGTTACAGAGCCACTAATGTCCTCACATCGGGGAAGGAAGTTAACTTTAATGTGAGCCCGTTGCTCTGATGTTAGCGAATTAGCCACAGCCCAGTTCAAAAAAAAAAAAAAAAAAAGTTAAAGATACACCGTAAAAAAAAGTCTTGGTTTGAGCTTACCTGGCCTGGTTGTATTCCTCTTTCGGGTTTATGTGTTACGGTGAAGTTTATGTCTCTCGTTGGTGCCAATTTACGAATCTTTTCGCCCGTTTTTTCCGCTCGGCAGCTGCACCATCGATTGACTGACTTGACGCGACCCGTCAGTTACGAATTGTACGGGTGCAGCATATCCGGTTCAAGACTTTCAAAATAAGACCACAGACGATGTGGAAAGTGAATTCTTCTTCTTGTGATGAACCTATGACGATTTTTTTTGGTGTAGACAATAGACTTTAGTTGTAATGACCCTACTTTATTACACATCAAATGAATATTGAAAGTGTATACTGTATCGTGCAATATGGGTTCTTTTCTGTTGAATTGTATTTAATTGTTTTTAGTGTTTTGCATTTGTTTATGTTTTTCTGTGTTTGGTTTAGTTTGTTCTTGTTCTTGCTGTTTGTCAAAGCACTTTGTAAACCTGTGTTTTTAAAAGGTGCTATATAAATAAAGTTATTATTATTATTATTATTATTATTATACATGAAGCATGATTATTTTATTAAGCATGATAGTTTTGGAGTGTACAGAAATAAGCTCAATCAAAACTAAAACATTATTTTGTATTACTTCAATATGTTGTAATGGAGCATCTCTATTTAGTTATATAGCTGGATTAGTTAATTAAATATAACCTGTGTCTCTTCCTCAATTTTTACTAACGCACCCTAATGTATCACAAAAACAGGAGTCAAAGCAACATAAGGGGATTCCTGTTATTTAGATGAATTCTGTTTAAGATACAGAAGCTTTATAGCTGTTCCATGATCTAAAAATCAAGTATTCAACAATGTAATTCAAGCTATTGTGAAACCCTTTTTTTTAAAAAAAACACACTTCCTATCTTGTAACAGTCAAAACTTTACAACTTCATGCAAAACTGGTGAGAGGCGCGGCTGTGTGACGTCACGTGCCTTGAAAACTTGCTCTTGATACTTAATGCTGAGGCCCCTGAGGCACCGGTTCCCACTGTGAGGTCTGGGGCCCTGCAGGCATCTTGTAGAAGTCGGCAGTGAAGTAAGAAGTAGCTTGAAGCGTCGTACATTTCTAAATGGGAGTACAAGGTTGTGATTAAACCTATATAACATTTCTTGTCATTGATAGCATGCTTATATGCTTATGCTTCGAAATGTTCACATGTAAGGTGAAAGAGTTGTAAAATGAAGAGGTTCATTGTGGCAGAGGTCATGAAGATGTTAAACCGTAATGACAGTAATTCATTAAAGTGCAAGCTTATCTGAAAACTACAGTGGAGATGTTTGTTTAGCTTGTTTACTCATATATCTGTAAAGGAAGAGATGATTGGGGTACGTGGGAGAATATTCAACATCTTTAAAAAATAACAGTTCTTTTTGTTTTTTTAAACCCTAACCTCAACCCTTTTTAGAAAATAGGACATCAAACCCCATACCTGTTTCTAGTTTTGTACCTCTTCAACCACAAGCCACCAGTATACTCATGTGGAAGCCATAAACTAATTCTATAATCTGAATAGAGATGTATTTGCTGCAGGGTGCTAAAATTCACTTTCAGATGCACAGCGTCTATTGCTATTTTGGCTTTACCAGAAAAAAAAATCCCCTCAATAGAAACTCAAAGCAGTTTATGAAGACATTTTAAAGGGCCAGTAACACCATAGACCGTATATACAGTCTATGTACTCGACGTATAACACTTACCCTTGCTTTAAAGTGAACACGTTTGTCAAGGCATTTTATTGGAAGGACGGAGAGAAAAAACTTAATGGGAGAAATACATGTCTTATGCAGAGCATTAGCAGAACTCTTAAGCTTATCAAAGAAGAGCTCAAAGTCAAGAGCATAACATGAGCTGCACAGTTTATAACCCCAATAAAAGAAACAAGCAGAGGGACCTTAGTTTCACCCGAAACCATCGTTTTATTTGGCTAATGTTAACTCGACGTAAATTGGTCCCAAGCAGTGGAGGATTTTTTTTAACAGTAACGTTAATGTAAAAATATAAGTAATGTAAAAAAGATCAAATAGTAAAGGGAATTTGGTATAGATCACAGAATAAAAGGACTATGACTTAAATACATTACTATGCTTGTAGTAACCAGCACCAGGTCCAGGAGGGGACAGGGTGGTGTTGGGGGTGGTGTGTCCAACCTTTAAGGTAGGACAAGGTGATACGCAGTGACTTGTTTTAATGACAAGGTAACAGCAAGACCATAAAGGTCATTGGCCTTTTGGAAAATTGACCAGGGATCAGTTTTAACTCCAGACAGATTAGACTCATCAAAGGCTTCAGGGCCCCTTACCACAGAGAAGTATCAAGAAATCATAATAAAATATAATCCCCAATTCCATTAAATGAAACATGTTAAGGCTAGCTAACAGTATTATCTCTTACCCTAACCATGATCACAACAGTGAACATGAACTATTACCCTCAAACCTCAGATACACAGTCCCATGTTTTAATCAAGTCACACTCTTTTCTTACACCAGTCAATCCTAATATAAATATGGAGCTTAATCCCAGATCAAAGTACATCGAAGGCCTCTGAATATGTGTTTGGTGTTAAAAAGTTGTGTCAAATGTTTGTATCTTTGGATCTTGTCTTTAATTTTTACGTTGCAAATGGAGCAAGATGAATTTCAGACTTTGACAATAAATGTAAAAGTTATGAAGTAAGTAAAGCAAATGCGATGGAGATTTCCTCATCAGATTAGGGCTGAATGATATTGTCTAAGCATCAGCAGCTTGATTTGATCTCGTTGTTGTTGTTGTTGTTGTTGTTTCATCCAACGCTCCTTTGTCTTAGAGTAAATAAAGTCGTTCACATGAGAATCTCCACTTCAGTTTGCCTTGATTAATGGTTGAGAAAATCTAATCAACCCCCCCTCCCCATTTTTAGTAACATCATTATTATCACCTAAATGATAAAATTATGTTCAAAGGATTCTAAAAGCTTAAAGTGCTTTTATTTTGAAATACCACAATGTACACTGCAAAAAGAAAGTACTTCAATAAACTCTGATACTGTTCAGCCCTCCTTCAGTGTATCAAAAATGTATGTTACTCATCATCAATGTTTCAGAAGTTGCAGAAAATAAACAGCTTGTAGCTTTGAGGGCACACATTCCCAACACATGTCATTACTTAAGATTTTAATGTGCAATAAATATAGTCCAAATCAAACATGGGATAGCCTTTGATATCAAAGCAAAAATAAAGAAATAAAGTGCAATCAGCACCCGTTACAATCTTATTAACGACCCCCCCCCAGTCCCCAGCCCAACATAATCATTAGCACTATAAAAAAACACTATTCAATTCTAAATATATTTATTTCTTCCAATACGTCCTATCTGTAAACTATATCTTTACACCTTTAGTCTTATGTCAACTCTCTTCCCTCTAAATAACGTATTTCAGATTTCATAATTTCTAGCACCTGTGTGGGTCAAGTTAAAGTTTAAGGACTCATTCATCATGCATAGTTCAGGTTCTTAAAATCCTCCTCCTTCTTGTGAGATTCAAATGCCATTCACGTGTATAACAGAGAACATTCTTCATTTGTGTAGTTGCAGTTCTCCCGCCCCCTCTCCCCTTTCTGATTTCAATCCTAAAGTTCTTTTCAAATCATTTATAGGGGGCTTTAAGCTGGGGAAGTTTGACCTTCAGCCCCTTCAACATTATTTCCACATTTTTAGTTACTCATTCATACAAAGAGCCACACACTCCACCCTTTAAACCTTCCAAATTTACGACCACGACGTTGATTTCCCTCCTGTCCAGCAGCGACGTTTGTTTGCCCCTCTTGTGCCCTCGGTCATGAAAAGTAGAGTCCTCAAAATAGTCAGGCTAAAAAAAAAAAAGGAAGTCTGTGTTCTTTTTGTATCCACTGTGGCCCACAGGTGGACCCTGTAAAAATGTTCAGGAAGTCTTTTAAGAGTCAGCGGTATCACCTCACTTCCAGGTTGCAGCAGCAGGCCGAACGCCGGCGCTGCCCTTGGTGCCCTTAGACCCGAGGGATTGACCTGAGCGGCTCCGCAGCTCGCGCTCCGCATTCTCGCTCTGCGCCTGCTCCTCGTCGTACCTGCAGGAATCACAGACGGGGGAATCAGGTTAAGAGGGAAAGACATGTGTGGGGGGATTCTTGCCAGCCAACCCCCCACCCCGACCCACCCTTCTCCTCCAACTGAATTGTGGAGTGTGTAAACAAAGGGCTTTGCTGAAACAGCCCCCCTGCTGAGCCCTTAACCCACTCTGGCCACACTATTCTGTTAAGTCTATTCAGAATGTGATGTCAGTGAGGCCCCTCTCATGCACACTCCCTTCGATAGCTCAGTTGGTAGAGCGGAGGACTGTAGTGGTTACACCAGGAATCCTTAGGTCGCTGGTTCAAATCCGGCTCGAAGGAGAGACATTTTAAACCGATAATCGTCACTCACAGCATGCTTTATGATAACAGAGGAGACCCCAATTATTACCACCCTCCATTTACAATCGTGTGTGTTTGTATCTCTCTCACTGAGTAATAGAAACATGTATCTATATATTTGTTTGGTAAGTTCTCCTCATATTTCACTTGGACTACTGACCTGGTAAATGATTCATGTAAGGGTCACAGACTTTTTTTATTCCACAAGGATCATGTTGTGTTGTTTTTTTTTTTTACAACAATCACAGATAAACAGCTGGTCAAAACTCGTTCTAAACATCATTCTACCGCTGCATGCATGTGCCCTTCGATAGCTCAGTTGGTAGAGCGGAGGACTGTAGTGGTTACAAGAGACATCCTTAGGTCGCTGGTTCAAATCCGGCTCGAAGGAGGGAATGTTTTAGCCATGCAGCAGGGTTGCGTTTAGACTAGCACTGTTGGTTTCTCCACCGCTTAGGGGATTTAAACTCAGCCGAACATCCTGAGATTTTCAGGAGATTTCTGCAAGTGTGATGGACCTAATCGCCTGGCCAGTTTGTTCAACTGTACGCTGAACTGTATGGAGACTACAATACTGCAACACAACACAGTCGGAGCTCTCTCCTTTGAGCAGAAAACGTAAGAATTCCTGTTATCAATTCTGCTTGAGTCTTCCTCCGCTCAACCAACCGAGCAATGGAAGGAGGACAGAATCATATCATAAAGAGCTCATGGATTCATATAAACCCTGTGTAAGATTTGGATCACAGAATGCGAGCACTCTTTTGATAACTAGTCTTCAAAAGTAGTTTGGGAGGTAGAGCCTCAACTGTAGTCCAAACTACTACAAAGTGTTGCAATCCAAATCTCTCCTTCAAGCCAGTTTGTCTCTACAAGTAACATCTACTAGTGACATTCTCTACAGTCCTGCATGGTTAGAACTATGACCCCCCCCCCCCCCAAGACGGGAAAGCAAACTATCACTTGTGACTGATATCACAAGGATCGCTGTGTATGGCTTTAAGACAATGCAGAGTTTGTGGTGGATTTTTAAAGTCACTCACAGGACTTGATAGTTGCCCAGGGCCTCTCGGGGCGGGCTGCGATTCCAGCGGCAGTCTGGGAGTTCCCCATTGGGTGTGACGATGTTGAGAGTGTCGTTGATGAGGTTGTACTTCAGGATGCGGTCGTTGGCTGTGCTGGAGGTCAGCGAGGGAGAGGCGTTGACCTGAGTCAGACGCAGACAAAGAAAGGGGAAAATTAGCATTTAAAAGAGAACTGTGTTCATGCAACATTGCCCTCGTGTCTTGTGATGCATTAGGCGTTTAAAAACAACTGCCTCAGCTGCATAACATTATTGCCGGAATACTTGCAAGTAAAAATGATTTGGGAAGAGAGCTTTTGTGTCACTGTCGTCACAGAGGAGCGTTAATGCCCTACAACCGATTCTATCAGACCCAAAATAGACCGGATTGGTTTCTTTTTGCAGAAATAGTTCAGACCTAGCCTAGAAAACCCTGCTTGTCATGGCACAGATGCAAAAAAAATGTGTGCAATAAACTATGACAACCGGTTTTAAAGAAAAAAAAATCTAAAAACAGGAAAAAAACTGAATCCCTGTAACAGCCCTGCGTTGCTGTGTGGTGTAATAATTAAATGCAGGAATTAGAGACACACCTTCAGCACAGAGCGATATTCAAAGATCAACCTCAAGGGCATTTAAAAGTTGCTAAACACTTGAGGAGTCAGTCTGTGTAAGCATGCTAAGTATTTATGGCCTGGCATGATGTAGATCTTCAGGGATGAGGTAAAGATTACACCACACAGGATCATCTATAGTCGAGTGTGTAGGGTGTGTTTGCATGTAATAACTCCTGTTAAATTACTCACCTCAATAAGCCACGGCTTAAGCTTGTCATCGATGATGATATCATACCCGTAACATTCAAAACAATGCTTGTCGTTGTTCATCACGGGCTGGAAGAGAGAGAGAGAGAGAAGCAGGAATTAGAAGGAGGGATTGACCTACATTAAAGGTGACTAAACAGAGAACAGAGAAAAAAAGAATACAACTGTGGAGGTAACCATTACGACACAAAAAGTGGGCAGACCTGAGAGGGGAAGTGAGTCAGATGACTTGGCAGAAAAGGGAAGTGTGCACCGTCCACATCAAGGTGTTTGTACAGCTGTGTGTTTAAAAGGGAGGGCCCATACTAATAACACAACCCCCCAAAAAGGAACAGAGTAAAACATCCCTTTCAGCAGCCGTCTCAACATGTGTGTTGTGGTGGTGTTGGCTCTCAGTCAGCAGGGAGGGAATACTGGAAACCTGACTTCACCAACTGTCATTCCTAAAGGATTCCTACTGCTGGCTAAAACATTCCCTCCTTCGAGCCGGATTTGAACCAGCGACCTAAGGATGTCTCTTGTAACCACTACAGTCCTCCGCTCCACCAACTGAGCTATTGAAGGGCACGCACATATAGTGGTGGAATGATGTTTACTCAGTGTTTTGACCAGCTGTTTATCTGTGACTGTTGTAACAACGTGATCGATGTGGGATTAAAAAAAAAGTCTGTGACCCTTACATGAATCATTTACCAGGTCAGTAGTCCAAGTGAAATATGAGGAGAACTTACCAAACCACTATATTGACACATGTTTCTATTACTCAGCGAGGGTCGAACAGTGTGTACACACACGTTTGTATGAAGAGTGGTTACAGTTGGGGTTTCTACTGCTATCACATATTGAGACGGCCAAATATCGGTTTAAAAGTCTCTCCTTCGAGCCGGATTTGAACCAGCGACCTAAGGATTCCTGGTGTAACCACTACAGTCCTCCGCTCTACCAACTGAGCTATCGAAGGGGGATGTAGATGTGCTCCTGAAAAAGCTACAAAAAAAAACCCAGAGAGACAGCGATATAAAGGACTGTCTTGATAAACTTCAGTATATTGGGAGCAAAGGAGACCTGTAGTGACATTTCTACAATCACAGTGTGTCATATATGGAGTAAAAATAATGTGTCTCCACTTACAGCCACAGCTTTGAGCGACTGCACCACGATCCAGTGGATCTGGTCAAACAGTCGGCTGGTCACCTCCTTCCCTCTGGTGCTCTCTAGGTACAGACGGAGGTTACTGACCGTCCACTTGCCTCCATGGACATGGTTGTAGTCATCCTGCAGTAAAGTTACACAGTCTAAATAGATGTTGGAATATGTACATAGCTTTTGTTTTTTTCTGAACAAGGGCAGCTTTATTTAAAATAAAGTGGTCTGTCAGAAAAAAGATGGCTATCTGTTGAGTAAAAAACACTTTTTGTTTCTCCTTTTCTACTTACCCCGTGTTTTTGGATGGCCACATTAGTCAGGTGAACAAACATGTTGTCCAGCTCACTGGTGCTGGGTGTGTACTTCACCGTGCAGAACCTGCAGAAGCCGAGCTTGTACCTGAGGATAAAAAAACACAAAGAGAAGTTCAATCATGGCTGCTACATACCATTATTGTCATTGCTAATTCAAATACCTGCTATGTTTTCTCGACTGATACATTATTTTGACTATAAGGTGACAAAAAAATCAATTCATCAAGTTTGACTGTGTAGTATAAATCAATAATGTAACAGATGTTGTTGAAGCCTTAATGGCTTTATATACGCTTGAATGATGATTTAATGCATTTCCAGGTTTAATCTTTATTGAATGAATAAATTATAACAACACTAAGTACGGGTTAGAATACAGGCTAATACCTGATCATGCTAGTTATTTATCATGACTACATACATGGTTGTATCATGTGTAAACAAACTTTAAATCCGGGGCTTACATGTAGCATTTCAGAGGCCGATATGTGGTCACCAGAACATAGAGTCGCAGGTCAAACTTCTTCCCTCCTATCAGCAGAGGGTTGTCGATGTACAGGGAGATGACATAGGCCTCTTTGCCACTAGCTGCTGCTACAAAGCTGGAGAAAGAAGAAGAAACAAAAAATCTTTTAAAGGTTTTGGATGTTAAACCGGAAATCAAAGACTTAAGATTTAACAGGATTTCATGTGCAGTACATTTAAAATGTTTCACTCCTTTCTCAGATATTTACAGTTGGCGGTGAACTCAAATAAAGATTTCCATACTGATCGAGTTGAGAACAGGACAGAAACAGCTGCTTTTGCTTAGATTAGCTTGGAAATATAGATGAGATAAGGTGCCTCAGTATTGTAAATGTTATGTTTACGTCTCTAATTACTCACGTGGAGGTGCGGCTGTCTCTGGACCACTTTTTGATCTGGGACAGTTTGTTGATGAGGAAGATGCCTTTGCCCTGAGCCTTCCCGCAGGGCTTCATGATCCATGTGCTGGACGGGTTTTTGCGGAACTCCTCCACAAAGAGATTATAATCGGCCGGGAGCATAAACGTCACAGGGACAAAATCTGCAGAGCAAAAGGAGAAAATATGACGATTTTTTTTAGGACAGCCTGTTTCGCCATTGTTTCTGTTTGGGGGGGGGGGGGGGAGGGGAGCGGGGGAGAGAAACCACATTCATTCTCAAACAGATACCTAAATAAATGTATTTCCCGTTCTCGTCCTTCTCTGCCAGCGGACTGCTTTCCTTTTCTAGCTCCTTGCGATAGCGTTTGATGTTCTTGATCATCAGGTCCTTCCTGGTCAGCTCGTAGTGGTTGGGGAAGTGATTCACCATCTGGTCATCTGACAGGCGGTAGCCGGTGTCCACGCTGAACACATTTCTGATGGTCTGGATGCTCATCCTGCGTGAGTACAAACAGACCTGGTGATCTAGAGAGTCTGGAGCCTAGAAGTTAGCATTGTAATATAATTATTACTAATTAAAAGGTATTAATAAGATAAACATACATTGTGTCTTCGATAGTTTAAATTAAAACAGACCAGATTACTTCATTGCTCATGACCCTTTGGAGGGGCACAAATCCATACGTGCATACTGTATTTTGCACCTGTATATTTGCACACTTGACTGCTTTTTTATTAATAATTCTTTATTTATCTATCATACTATGCACTGGCAGAGCTAGTATTTTGTACTGTTATCTATGAGTAACAGCTACTTATGCACATGGACCATCCATACCACTTTTTTTTATCCTGGTTATGTATTGTGGGCTCATGTTTTTTTTGTATGGGTGGGATATATGTATATATGTGTTGTGTGTTTGTATGTATGCTGGCTGCTGGAACACCTACATTTCCCTTCTGGGATGAATAAAGTATATCTTACCTTGTGCAAAACTCATGTAATGATAAATTTGAATGTGTTCTTAACAATAATGTAATACACACTATCAAACACATGCATGTTCACGACAATAATCTGTTTTCACCATAGTAGGATTTTTATTGCTTGACATATTTAGAGTATTTTAGACATTATTTCATGAGTACTTGAACAATATATCATTAGTGTATCCTCTCCAGTCTTAGTAAGGCGTTTTGCATGAAACGATATCCAAAGATGCAGGTGTAATAAAGACAAACGCCTACCAGTAGAAATTCCAGTCGTCGCTTTCTGTGACTTGAGTCCATTCCCTCTTCTCAAAGTTGTTGATGAGCACAGATTTCTCAATATCTGTCACCCACTTCACCTTACCGGCCATGGTACGTGCCTCCCACTAGGATGGAGCACAAAACAAACAAAAAAAGTAAACATGCACCAAAAAAAAACAAAAAAAAAAGCAGCTTAATATGAATAAAACACATAAGTTTTGGAGAATGCACAAAGAAGGGAGGGGGAAAATGCATGCAGCCACCATGCACCAAGTCACCTACCTACCTGCAAATCAATGTCAGGAAACAGCCAGTCATCAGCATCAGCTAGCCGGGCTGGCTCAGTTAGCAGGCTGCTGTATCCTCTCCGTACTGCTGCAGAGGCTGGGCGGACATCACCCTGACAGTGATGTAATCTCACCAAAGAGTCTTCACTCAACAAGAGGACATAGAAAACAACAGGCAGCACAGCCTGACAGCAGCACCCATAGCTCTAACTAAAAAAATGTGCTTTCATGTTAGCAGCTACATGTATTGATCCAGGCGTCGTGAAGCTCCACTCAGTGACAACGCCCACGACGGACACACTACTCTTCACAGTAAAAGTCATTAAAAAAAAAAACGTAATAACACATGCATTCGGGAAAACTCTACCATGCAATTCAATTAAATTGCATTTTTTGCAATTTTTGCAAAAGAAGTCTCACAGTCTTGTCATTTAACGACGTCGTTCTGGGCTTGGTCCTTCCGGGGAATTGCCTAGCAACGGAGGACGCAGTGATGTCAACGGAGAGTGTCATTACCACGAAAGCACCAGCAGGGGTCAGTGTTGGACAGCGTGAGATTAATTACGACTTCCCCCTTAATCATGTTTATATTTGTTTAAAAAAAAAAAGAAAAAAGAAATAAGGTACATTTGTGCCCAGAAATACAAGGGACTTCAAATAGCAACGACTGAAAAATACATTGTACGTTTTTAATTAAAACCAATTAAAGGTCAAGCGCAATACCACCAGCATTAATTATGGTGGCGATATTTCCCCCTAAACATCTCAGGTGTAATCATTTGATATAGCTTCAATAGATGTAAAATGTAAATTTCATTGTTGAAAATTGTGTAATTAAAAATAATTATTATCAAATATATTGTGGATCAAGACCATGATCATATATAGGCTACATAATATGAAGATATAAAATGTGAATTTATTAAAATAATAATAACAATAATAATAATAATAATAATAATAAAGAACTGCAACAAGGGAACGTCAGAATCCATTCTGGATATTACACGTCAATATTTATCAAACATGATTGCGTTCGCCCCCTTGTGGTCACCCTCCATAGCAGCAGGTAAGGGTGTGGCCAATCACATTTGTGGCAGTTAACCGAAAGCACCAGGATTAAAGGACGCTGCTGTAAGTAGAGCAAAAAAACATTTGAAATATTTCTTAATTTTCTAACTTGCAACACATTTCAATCATCATGTCTTGTTATGTTTTACAGGGCGGCGTCCGATTTAATCTAATAAGAAGGTAAGGGTCATTTCTCATTTTTGTTGTACATACCTGTTTCACTCGGCGGGGCTGGAACTTTTAGTTCAAATGAAATACGATAACACTTCCATTTTCAATCATCCAGAGACAATCAGGACATGCTGTGTATGTCAGATTGAAATTATTTTTTTCTCCAGGGGCTTAATGTGTAATCCAATAAATGTGATCTTCAAAACGACCTTTGTTTGCTTTGGTTGAGAAGGATGACTTCATCTTTTGTTATGACAATATGGTAGGAGACTAAAGGCTAGTGCAGGATGGTAATAAGGTAATAAGTTGTAACCTTTGTTGACATGTTAAATATAGTGATGTGTTATAGTATGTAGTGTATATAGAGTATTATGTTAACTTTCCCACATACATACTGCTATATTTTAAAGGTCGTTTTCTCTTCAAATATTGCATCACACTGTAAAGATGAATCCATATATGTGCACTTTTTCAAAAGTGAAATAACTGAGAACATACAAACAAACAAATGATTAACGTTTAAGTCGATTCTTCAGTGTGGGGGTTGTTTATTTCTTCTTGGTCAGGCAGTTTGGTTGATTTGAGTTATGGAAATGGATGATTTGCATTAAGGCACATGAGCAAAGGTACAACAGGAACTAGTCTTAGGACAGGTGCACGCACAGTAGGAGGGATCAAACCTGTTTGTTAAGGTGAAACTGAAAATAACAAGTCATAAATGCAGTCATGCAGGTAGATAACATGTACTGTTTTATGCACAAACAGGGGGGGGGGGGGCGCACACACACACACACATCCTTCTGGTGCAAAATACAGTAGTTAGTGTGTTCCAACTGTTGGACTAAACCAAACAAATGATGTCATCTCTTTAAACATGGGAGGGCCTGTTTTATCTACCTGGATTTTTCTCCCCAGTAACACAGCCACCTGTCCTGGTCACATGACCCTGTATTTACACAGCACATTGATGTTAAGAGAGCTCAACAAAGATAACGTAGAAACACCTTCGATCCATGGAGCCTTTATCAAATATAGCATGGATAATTTGCATAATACCTGCTCTCTTCTCAGAAAACAAGATGGTGGAGCTAACAAGACAGCCGAGTCGTGTGGTCTCCCTCCAGGCTGGACCTGGTGAGGTGGGGGCCGGCATCCAGTTTGACATGAATCGCAGGTACAGTCCTCTGATCAGTCAACATAAGGAAGTCCTGCCCTAAAAGCACAACCTGCTTTATCGTCACATTGCCTTCAAATCGGACCCAAATGCACAAAACTAAAATCGTGATGTATTGGAGAAGACTTGGAATTCTGATTAGACGATAAACTCATGAAGAAAGTGTTAACTAATGTTATAAATCAACTGAGAAAAGGGGCCATTTGTCTCATCTGGATCCACACAATCAGAATGATTTTTGCAATCAGTTTAGTCGCCCCCCCCCCCCTGGTGGCCATGCGTAAGAATGCAGTTTAAAGGCACTTTTGCATTGGCTTCAATTTTGAAGCAAGTGGCTATATGCAGCTCTCATTTACAGTGTGAGGGATATGATTATGCTTTTGACACCTAAAGGATATAAAGCACACAAATATAAATGTATGTACCGTCTGTGACTCCTTCAGGGCCAATGGCAGGGCTGTACGAGCCATTGGGCGCCAGTTAGCTATTATTGGAGACCAGCTGGACCAGGAGTGGGCTAGCAGACGGCCAAACTGGCAACCAGCTCCTCTCCATATTCTGAGACCTGCTCAGGCACTGACCAGGATGATCTATCGGTATACAATCAGTGTGAAAAACACATCCCTCTTCCTGGTTTATTACACCTAAAAACATTAGAGCTTCATGTGAGTGGTTAAGATATTTTAATGTGGTGGTGCTCTCTTCCAGGGATATCCACAGTCAGCTGTTGGGGTTTCAGGGCCTGTCTGCTGCAGTGAAAGCCTGGATAGCGGGTACTGTTCCTGGGCAGGGGATCCTCAGAGCGGACGCCTGGGTAACATTTGTATTCTGTTGTATTAAATATGTCATTGCCATTTTGAATTAATGTAAAAAAAACCCTCTAAGCTTTTTTATATGCGAATAACAGATTTGTTGCTCAAATTAATTTACTAATGTAACAATTTATCTTATAAGGTGTGCAAAAAATATTTTTTTCTGAAATCAAATGGTTTCATAAGTAACATAAATATCTCCAAATTAATAAAAAAATAATACTCTGATTTGAATTTCTTTTTAACATCATAGGTGTCCAGCTTGAAACCAGTCACCTGCACTGGCTGGACCAGAGGAGGCCTGGTGATGGTGGCACTGGTTGCTACGGTGACCATGTTTGGTGCACTATGGGTGGAATAGAGAAGACGGGTCTTTGTGGGACGTATTTTACAACAACAAAAAAAAAAAAAACAATGTTTGCTTATGAGTGATAATGATTTCTAACTGATTTTATAACTGCTGTTTACCTTTACTTTTTTTTTTTTTTTTGCCACACCGAATGAACAGAAACAAGGAGGAGAAGAAAAAAGGATATTAAATTTGTTCTGTTGAAATGGTTTAAATTAGCTTTACAGTGTTGCCTGAGGACTTGGCCAGCATATTGTAGCAGTGACATGTTGTTTCACGGATGTATTAAGGTTTAAAAGTCTGTCTTCTATGACCGGACTGTTGCTGGTTTGCAGTCTTTTGTTAGCAGATATGTTTCTTACTGGTATAAGAAGCCTTTTTTAAAAAAAGTAAATGAGACATAACCAGGCCTAATATAAAACAAGGGGAGCTGGGCTTTCTGTTTCTGATTTGAAAGTGCTTTTTTATGTATTGCAAATAAACTACATCATGATGAAAACTTGTGGATCCATGATTAAAAATAATATTTTATTTACACATACAAGATCAAAAGAAGCTGCCACAGGAGCTTGTAGGATTTGCAAATCTTGTGTTCTTTAAAATGAGCACAGAGGTTCAATTTTTATTTTTTCCCCCCAACCGTGCGTCGGTCAACTTCTCAGTCTTCATGAGTGGTGACTTCCACATGTGTGTAATTGGTGAAGGCCTTCCTGTTGCACTTCTGAAGCGTCGCCCCGAGCTGTTTCCCCGGGCCGAGCTCGTAGGTGTGAGGGAACTTCCTCCCCTGCGTCCTCTCGAAGATCTCGTGCAGAGTTTGCTCCCACTTCACCGGCGACACCAGCTGCTTCACCAGCTGCCTGCGGACGTGGCTCTCGTTCATGTAGCGTTTGCCGTCCACGTTTGAGTACACCTTGATTTCAGGGCGACGGATCTGTGCAGGGGGGGAGACGACACAAATCAAAACAAGCGAACGTTTCCACAAGTGGCAGTTTGGGAAAAAAGGCTTTGAATGAGGTTAGAAATTATTTGAAATGTACATAAAAACTATTTGACATTGACTGGTTGAGATTTTCATCGATCATTTTATTTCTTAATTCATAGATGAATCTTTTGTAAGACGCTGCCCACCAGTCAAAGCCTTTTACCAGTTTAAACAAAGAAAATGTCCTTCACTCGTGAGAAACTAAAACCAGTTGTGTTTGGCAAATCGTTTGCTTAAAAAGGAAAAAGAAAAAGATGATTTGATTAGCAGTAAATTTGAACTTTTGACGATTCTCCCCTCCAAGTATGTAACTGCTTAATCATTGCAGCTCAGGCATACTTCATTGTGCATTCTCACACAAAGAGAAGGCAGTTTGACAATGTTGGTGTCTCCTTCAGTTTGGACATTACCATGTTGAATTTTAGGCAAATCATAGTGACTGTATATAATGCAATGAGGGCAGTGCTTTTAAAAGAGGAGGCCTTAAAGGATGGAAAAAGATTGCCACAATTTTCCTCCATATTACCCTGGGGGGAAAAGGGTGATGTTTACAGAACGCACAGTGAAGGGATGCTGCAGCCTGGGAAAGTTAGGTTTGACTGACCTCCACCTGTCGGAGCACGTCTCTGAGGGGTTCAGTAGCCGACTGCATCAGCTCGGTGTGAAACGCCCCGCTCACCGGGAGAGGTTTGGTCCTCATGAAATCGAGACGTCTCGAGTTTTGTTGGAGGAAATCTAGAGCCTGGAACGTCAACAAAGAAAAACATTAGGAGTCCAAAGCAGCCCGAGAACAGATCGCCGTAATCTAAATAAGGCAACATGCATATCCACCTCAAAGTTGTATTTTGAATCAATACTTTCAGGGAGAGGAATAAAGTCTCATACCTTTTGGTGGCCTGCGATGACCCTGCCATCAGGGAACAGATAGTTAGCCACAGAGCACACGGCGTCCTCCATGCCCAGGCTCTTGCAGTGCTCTTTAGCCTGCAGACAGGCGTGTTTATACTGCGCCTGTGGTCTACCAATGACTGACAGCATCCCACTAGGAACCAGCTCTGAAGCTTTCTGCATGGCCTCGGCACGCACCTTCACCGCATACAGAGCTGGAAAACATAATATGTAATGTGGACTTTTGGCATGACAGTATCCAAACCATGTGCAATCTAACAATCAAAATTTTGTTTACCTTCTGCATAGTCCATGGCACCAGAAAAAACCAGGGCGGCAAATTCTCCAACGCTGAATCCTGCAGCAGCGACACAGGTCTCAATGGCCTGTGCACAGAAAACATGTTTTTTCATCTTCTGACGTGTTTGTGACGTGCACCACCTTTCCATCCATTCGTTCGTTCGTTGACGCACAGTGAACAGCTTACCTTCGGGTTGACATGGTGGAGTCTTTCCACAGCAGCCAGCGAGGTGACAAACACCGCCGGCTGACAGTGAACCGTCTTCATCAGCTCCTCCTCGGGCCCCTCCGTGCACAGAGACAGCAGGTCGTACCCGAGGATTTTCTGGGCGACCGTGAACATCTCCTTAACATTGGGGTATTTTAAAAGTCCTCTGCCCATGCCCACGAACTGGCTGCCCTGGCCGGGGAAGAGGAGCACGGAGCAGTCGCTGGGGTCCTTTTTGGGTCTCCATCTCGGCTGCCCCGCCGGCTCGCTGTCCGGGAGAGGACCGGGGGTCTCTGGCGAAGGGTTGTGGGTTTTGTCCGGTGGGCCAGGCTGGCTGGTGGACAGTCTTCTGTCTCTCAGAGAGACCAGGGACCTGACCTTCCTCCTGCAGGCTGCTGATACCAACATGGCGGACTTCTCTCCAAGATGTGTGTTCGCGGGTTAAAACAGAGACATTATCTGTTTGGAAAAACTCAAAATATCCGACAGAAAAGCGTGAATATGTGACTACAAGACGGCGTTTCTACTGCTTGCATGACACGGTGCTGGAAGCCGCCATGTTGGTTGTAGTTTTAAAGTCTGTTTCCTGGTCAGTTTCCGGTTGTTACGCGTGACACCGCCCCCTGTTGGACACTTAAATAAATGATAAACAAATAACTTAACCAAATCATTCCCTCATTGTATCTTTATACAAACGTAACTTGAAACAAAATAACTTATTTAATGTTTATATTGAGTTTATAAGGTATTTTTATGTGATCATTTTTATTTTATTTAGAAATATACAAATAAATTACATCTTATATTACAACTGTTTTCCCCTTTACCCCCCTAGAGCACATACATGTATAAAAATGAAAACATCAGGATCGATCAAACATTCAAACCTTCCCCCCACCCCACCCACCCCGTGGCGACCCCACAATAATCTATTTTTTTTTTTTAAGTCTAATGCTTCTGTTTAATCCTTAAAGCCTGGGACTGGAGTTCAAATTAGCAACGGCTAGAAACCTTTTATACTTTGTATTTTTACATAAGCAGCAATGTTCATGGCATGTGTCCCTGTTAAAAGAACAAATAAAATACACATTTTTGGGGGCATATTCTCTAAAACATGGATGTTGAAAGTGATATATACGCAATATTTGTGACCTTAATATGTGCAGAACAGGGTTTTCTACTTTAGAGAGAGGAATCGTTTCCTATGCAGGGGCTCTGTAGCTTTTATATTTTTGTTATATAAAATATTTCCCTAGGTCTATAGTAAATTGTAACTTGGCCGAGGTTGTCAAGAAAAAGTCAAATATCACAAACCATTTTTATTGATCATAAACGTTATTGTACAAAACTGTAAATGTCAGTTGAAATTATTCAGATGTGTTTTCATCAAATCCACATCGCACTGCGCTCATCCTCTTCACTCTCCACCTGAGTGTGCATTTCATCATATAAATACGCTTTCCTTTCATTGAACACATGATGAATTTTATTATCGTGTCTGAACTTGTAGATTTGAAAACTTTCCGCCGCCTCGACTGTCACCGCAGACAATCACATTCGTCCGTTAGGTTTTCCCTGCGATTCACCCGATCCATCGGACAGGTTGGCGGCCTCCAGCTGCTCCTCCAGCCTCTCGACGTCCTCCGGTGTCTGCGTGTTCTGATCGGCTCTTATCTTGAACTTAGAGATGAACTCGTTACTCGCCAGCGCTCCCTCCTTTTTGGGACACATGTTTTTGGATGATAGGCGGTGTTCCAAACGATCTACAAAGAAAACACATTCTTTTAAATATTTGTAATGTTTCAGACAAAGTGGGTGATGTTTTTGGTTCCATTTGTTTGTTGGTTTTATAGCTGCATAATCTAAAAAAACAAGTTAACAGCTTTTGAAAGTTCAGGCTCAACTACAGTTAAAGACCCTCTTCTTAAATTGTAATTAGGTTTTTGACTAGTTTCAGACCCAAACAAGCAAACAGATGAAGAGCATACTGCACCTCCAGGAGTGACGGGTGTCATCAGGCGGTTCAGCTGGACGTTCCAGTGCCGTACGTGTTGACTGGCGTTCCTCAGCCTCTCTTGTACTTCCTTGAAAATAATTATTATTTGTGTGTTTTGTTTTTTTTGTAGTTAAATGTGCTGCAAACTGAGCAAATCAAACACTCTGCATTTTTGTCTTACCTCCAGGCGCTGGTGGCTCCTCTGGCGCGATGCCCGCAGGTCCTGGAGCTCCTTGGAGGCGGAGTGAAGAGCCAGGGAGGGCGAGTCGTCGTCCGTGCTGCCGTCTGGGGCCTCCTGTATGGTGCTGAGGCTCTTTGTGGACCTCTGCTGCTCCTGCAGGACCTGGAACTGCTTCTTCTTCTCTTCTTCCACCAGCAGCAACCTGGAGAACAGTAGAAAGAAGTTCAGTATGCCAAAATGTAAACAAAAAAAGGGGGAAAATACAACAAAAGCTGAAGTTTCAGTCTACTGGTAACAAAAGTAGAGAGGGTGTGTGTATGTGTGTTACCTCTCCAGCTCCTGTCTGGCCCTCTCCTCCTCCAGCCGAGCCTGGATCTCCATGTGGAGAGCAGCTTCCAGTTTCCCCTGCGTCAGCTCCAAATCGTGGATCCTCTTCTTCTGTTGCTCAGCCTCTCTCTCCTTCTCCTGCATCTCGGCCTGCATGCTGTCTCTCAGCTAGAGCACACACACACACATTTATTACACACATACACACACACACCGGTAAGGTTGAAAGAACTGACCTATTCCTGAATCACCTTTTCCAGGAATGCCGTAACTGTTTCTCCACCATTAAAACCACTGAAGGGTTGAATCTGAATTTTATAATGCCAGTGTTTTGTGCTGCTTTTAGAGATTAAATCCAACGTGGTGGACTCTTAATAGCTTTTCAGGGAATTGTAAATAAACTCGAAGCTTTTTCTTACAGTCTCGGCCTCTTTCAGCTGCCTCTCCAACTCCATCTGCACCTCCTTCTGTTTCTTCCTCTCTCTTTCCTCTGCTTCCCTTCTTCTGGTTTCCAGTTCACGTGCGTGCTGCAAGAGCCACATAAAGCACCATCAAACCTAAGACGTACATTATTCCAATCCATCGTGCTTCCGCTGAGTCCTCGTTTACCTGTATGATGCTCTCTATCTCTAAATCCTGTCTGTCTTTGTCTTTGTCCATCTTCTCCAGCTCTTGGAAACTCGAGTCGTCCGACTGGCTGCTGCGGCTGCTGCAGCTGCTCCGGGAGCTCCTGAAGCGTTCCCGTTGGCTGTGTTCCCGATGGAACCGCCTCTTGAGTTTGAGTTCATGGTGTAGGGAGGCCTTGCCCTCAGCCTGGAGACGAAGTGCCGTTTGAATAGCTGTGGGGATAGCACACACACACACACGTGTATATATATATAGAGAGTGAGATCTTAATGCAATATCTCTTTTTTCTTAACTTCACCAACAAAAATAACTTTACATTATTGAAAGTTTCAATAAAGTGGTGATTGAACCAGATGAAAGAGGCTTAACAATTATCATTATTTCACCTATCACGTCTTTTTGCGTTCATGCTGATTCCGCGGCGGCTTAATATCGGTGTCCCAGTCTGGGAATTCACGTTGCACATCGGCGTTGCAGAAGCACAGCAAAGCTCGAGCTCCATGTAAGAAACACATAAAGATATGCACGCACACACACAGCGCTGCACTGCGCTCCCCCGCTGGCTCTGCTGATCCCCGTTTCCCGTCTGTAACGCCTCTGTTACTACCTCAACTACCTGAAACTCCGACTGAAGGCGTCACGGGGGCGTAAATATCGCAGCTTGAAACGGCGGTCTGAGCGGGACTACAGTCTGAGATTGTTTTGCAGAGATGTGAAACTTACAAAATCACCCTTGAAGAAAGGAAGCACATCGACACTTTCAGTTGCTTTCCACGTACATTGACCAAGATGGTTTGTTGTTTGCAAAAAAAACAGGTGAAGGAAATCTCAACTAGCGATCTGGGAGCACTTGAGCGGAGGGTGAGGTCACGTCCTATGCTATATATTCATACACACCAACACACCTTGTATCCACTCCACCTTCTGTCTCTGGTCTGACGCACTCATCTCAAAGGTCTTATTGTATGTTTTCACACAGAGCATACAGCGCTTCGTCTCCCTGTCAGCAACAGGCTGGAACAAAAAAGTGGAGACACATTGTCATACAGTTTAGCTTCATAGTCAAATTACAAAGTCTATGTGTACAAATCCAAAGTGCAGAATCTGCCTTTTTACCGTACTATCATTCAACATGCAGTGTTTACATTACATTTCCTCACCGACCTCTACCACACAGGTCTTATCCAGCAGGATCTCCCCTCTCTTGTCTTTTAGTGCCTCGCTGACGTAGTAAGCTATGGAGGAGGGCTTCAGCACGAACCAGCGCTCGGTCCAGTTCCTTCGAACATGCCCCTTTTTCCACATATAACCCTGACAACAAAGAACGAGAGATTAAGAAAAAGAAAGAAAAAAAACCCCAAGACAAACATCATGAGAGAAGATACGACACAACCCGAAACTCACCCTCTTCAGCACGTTGTGATACATCTCCAGAAAGACCTCGTCCAGAGCCAGGCTGAAGGCCTCGGCGCTGGTGACCCTCAGCAGCCGGCCTGCGATCATGTGCTCCAGGAAGCTCCACACAGACGTGCCCTCGTCCCGCACTGTTGCATCCTGGGTAAGCAGGTCCTCCAAGGGCTTCTCATCCCACTCCTGGCTCATCGCTGTGGAGATTTTCTTGAGAAGGTACTCCAGCTAAGAAGTATTGATATATAAGAAAATGAATTGTTTACAGTGGGGCTACACACACTGAGTACGATGACAAATAGTATCAACGTCTGTAACACACACGTTCACAGAGGAAAGCTACTGTGCTGATAATACAAAGCATTTTTTTCTTTCGACAGGAAACCAAAAGAATTATGGAGGAAGTGCAGGAAGGAAGACGCTCATTAACTTACTGACTTGCACTTGCATATTTCAGCTGTGAAAAGACATAAACAAACTGGGCCTGGTGGTAATAGTTATATGATGCATATTCTTTACACCAAGCAATCCTAGTGACAGCACTTTTGTGTAGGCGTGTTTATTTCTGTAATTTGTTTCTCTCTGTATTTTTTGTTTGGCCTATTCAGATATTAAGTCAATAAATATAACCCTTTGTTCCTGCGGTGCTATGTTTACATTTTATACTTAAAGGCGTTATTATTTCCACGCCCCTGACCCCAGCTGATCAGGTCTCCCCAAAGTATCGAGCTTCACACATAAACAATCCTCATATATTATCTTACCTCCTCTGGTATCATCACCAGCGGGTAGCGGTCCTCAGACAGGAGGTTGAATAAACAGAACAGCTTGAAACAGTCTCTTTCTGATAGCAGCGCCCCCTGTGGTACCCCCTTGAAGTTCTTCTTTCTGGTCATCATCCAGCACAGGTCGTCGAACTTCTCCTTGTCGAACATCCCCTCTTTGACCTGAGAGACAGAAAAGAGCACTTTGTTATGACTGTGAGGTTTCTTAAACAGGATCAAGATGTCATGTGATTGAAACAAAGATAACAGGTTGTATAAATCACTG